TTGAATGTCAATCAACTATTTAGTCTGTAAATTGTTTTTACGTTTTGAATAAAAATACAACCTACAGCTGTTTTTAATATATATATATATATATAATTCAGTCTGCACCAAAGAAAGGACTAGACACATCACACTAGTTACTAGTGTCCAATCAAAATATCCACTACAGTCCTACAGGAGGTCAATCGCGAGCCCGAATAGCTCAGTGATAACGTCTCTGACTGCAGTACTGAGTGAGGGTTCGAATCTCAGAAGGGACACGAGTTCCTTCAAGGTTGCAGATACGCCTTGCTGACTGGTGAGTGTCAACTAGCCCGAAACCTAGGTCGAGCAAGGCTTGCTGCCGATTGCCTCCAACCATCTAATATCATAGTTACAGAGAGTCTGTTTAGACAATACTCTACTGAGTTGTTGATTCACTTGCGTGAAACAACTCATCAGTAGGTTACAAGCATGAAAACCAGCCAGATTATGACGACCTGTATAACAAGGTGGTAGTACAACTAGATCCTATATAGTGGATGTAATTGTCTGGTCCCTTATGGTGGCTGAGACCAGTATTATTCAGTAACTGTGGATTTGTATCGTGTTTTGATCTGATCGTTTCGCAATTATTTACCAACCTTAGTGTATTTCACTAAAACACATTATTCATCGACGTAGAAAGTGGCTCGATATGTTTAATATGTGTGTCTTAATAATTCCAATTAACGAATATCTTCCATTTCACTGAATGAACAACTGTTCTTACATTTGTACATAAAATAAAATTTAATCAAGAGGCGATAATGAAGAATAAATAATTTATTTTGGTCTTTCGGTCATGGTCAATTTACACCTCAGTTAGTGAGACTATAGGTGTTCTATGTAGGTTTTTTTTTCATCGAGACCTAAAATATATCTTAAGTGTTAAATAGGATGTTTATTATCACTAAAGCGTTGGAATAGTTTATCTGCATTATGAAATAAATACCAGTGATATTTTTTCATCAATTTTGTGTGGTTGTTCGCGTCACTGTTTCACATTCGGCTTTAAACGCCTTTGTAGGGATAAAAATATACACGAAACGACTTCAACTAGAACGTTTTAAAGCTAAAGAGCCTTGGATAGCCTTTTCGTCCTAGTTCAGGACTTTTCAAAAGTGCGCGCACGTGACGCCAAAAAGGGATCAAAACCCAGGACTTTCAGGTTGCTAGGCGATCCATGCTAAGGTTGTAGGTACACGCTGCTGAATACTCCCAAACTAGGCGGAAACAGCTGTCTATTGCTTCTTGATTTTCAGTGATTCTCTAACTGATGTCATTTCGTGACGAAATCTGCGTTGAAATTATAATCAGAATCCCTACAAATCACAAAATTTGAATACGCGGGGATGCATTCTATGTTTTTTTCTATTAGTTTAAAATGGCGCGCATTCAAATATTGTTTGATAAAAGTGTATTTATCTTCTTTCTGACACTAAACTTATTCACCTTATGTTTTTATTTTATCCTCATCAAGCGCTGAATGGGATATTTTATATGCTGTCACTGAAGCTGCAACTGATAGCGCCACAGTACTCCAGGAATCAACTGTTACCAATGGTGAAACAGTTAATCGGTAAATTATAGTTCTTTATGATTATTTAGTCGTAACATGGTAGGCTTTAATAAATTTTATTCGTTTGTTATTTTTTTTACCGCTTCTCCTCTGAAATAAGAAATTGAAGTCACAGACCTATTCTTTTTGTTTGAAGACAATACTGAGTATGTAAATTATGATTACGACTCAATTGTATTGTTAATTTAAAGCCTTGTGTATTTATTTCTTCAAAAGACTAGTAGTAGTGTAACGACAGAAGACAAGGGCCAGGCAACCGTTCGTTTATTGAGAAAATCAACAGATATTTATAGATTTTTATGTACATTATTATTAGCGTTATTGTTAGCAGAGAAGCAACGTCTTCTGATTGGTTGTTTACTTGCTGAAGGTTATTCTGTCATCTCTTTGTTGCCGTTTCTTAGACAGTCCGTTGATATATCTACGAATCGTATCCACCCACGCAAAGTCTGCTGTGATTGGTTGTTGAGTTCCTCAAGGTTAGGCTTTGTTCTTGATTTTCATCTCATGACCTCGATTTGAAACGTAAACATTAACGTCAATTGTTGTCCACAATTTTGGCTGGCAGACAGCTCTTATCACAGTAGTACGCTGGCTTGGTTGCTAGAATATTATATTAGAAGGATTAACGCTTGAACTCAGTTAGCTGGAACAGATGTTTCATGTTCCAGGTTGTGAGGATTGATGATACTGTAACAATAGAAGGCTAGGCACGGAAGCCAAGGTATATTTCCAAGTGATCAAACTGCTATTTATGTATATACAGTTTTATATTCTCTAACCGATCATTGAACGTGTAATTTTGGCTTATATTAAACGACATGAAATGGAATGTTCAAATGCGTAGTATTCTGTTGCTAGCCAGTATGAATTGTGGGAATAATATCTGACTCTAGCAAAACAGAATGTTGTAATAGGTATATCGTATTCTGTTGCTAATGCCGCATTGAACTGTGGGAATATGTGAGTATAATATTCCGTTGGAACACATTGTCTGTATCACACCACCAAAATACTACCGCGTTGCTGAAGCTGAATTAGATGGAGAGGGATTCCAATTGTAAACCTACAGGCTGAAAAGAATAGTTCCAGGTTATGTAATATTGTAGTGAGAGCTGGCTGCTAGCCAAAGTTGGTAGACAGTAATTGACGTCAATGTTTATGTCCCCAATATTGGTGGTGAGAAAATGAGAACAAAGGCTTTGCGTAGGCGGATACAGTTAGCATATGGATGATCTGACACAGCCACGAAGAGATGCAAGGTTAACTTTCTGTGAGAAACAACCAATCAAAAGACTGTATTTTCTACAAACAATAATCTACAATAATGTACATGAAAATATATAAATATGTGTTGATTTTCCTTAATAAACGATCTGTTGCCTGGCCCTTGTCTTCTGTTGTTACAATACTACTATATTTCTAAATCGGATTGAAGTTGGTTAGAAGGAATTGGAATAAAATAGATGCCTAATATCACGTTTTTCAGTCATCTTTAAGATCTGATTGACTCGCCTTTATTTATTACTATTTCTCTTAGCTATTTAATTTTTATTCTATCACTGATAAGATAAATGTTAGTTACTTTCAATATCTCCAGAAACATCTGGATATTTTATTAATCAGAAATGAATACATCCCAATAAATGATAAAGTATATAAGTGAAATACATATTATGTGTATTTCGAGAAACAAAGTTTTTCCCCCTTTTTTTTATTCCACTTATCTAATTCCTGTAGTAATTATTTTTAGATTTAGTAAATTGATATTCATTTAGATGAAGAGTTGGATTTCATTACATATATGTAACTTTACACGGCTTTGTGTTTGAGTTGTCACTGTTTATATGCCTTCATTTGAAAACCGATTTTTTCCCACGCACCCACCCCCTCCCAACTGATTTGCGTTTATGAAGCTAAAGTAGGCGAATCACTGTTCAATAGACCAAAAGTTGATACTTAAGTAAGAAGACTAGTGATAATGTATAGGTGAATGGCAATGTACTACTAAAGTTTATATTTCATTACAGAAAAAGTAGGTCCTTTGGGAAGTGGTACAATTTTATGAGCTTATTGAATAATGATATTATCGCCGATGATATTCTTAATTGTGGTGGACTGGATTATGCGACAGACTGTGGGGAGCGAGGAGACAGAAGTACGCTGGATCACCGATAATAAGACTCTAGAAGATCTGGATTTCGCAGATGATTTATGTCTAATGTCACACAAACTCGAAGACTTACAGGTGAAAACCAACAAACTGGCCAAAGAGACAGCAAAGACAGGACTGCAGGTGAACATTGAGAAGACGGAGGTGTTGAAGATAACCAACCAACAGCAGCAGCAAGAAAAACCAGCACCAATCACCATCAACGGGAGAGATTTGAGAGAGGTTACCTCCTTCACTTATCTAGGCAGCCGGCATCGTTTCAACTACAGGTCGGTGGAACGGATGAAGATGTCAAAGCCAGTCAGAATCGGAAAGGCGAGCTACGCCTTCATCAACCTGAAACCAGTTTGGAAATTTTCTGCATTCAACATAAGGGACAAGATTTGCATTTTCAACACCAATTTGAAGTCGGTCCTTCTATACGGGTCAGAAACTTGCACTGAGAGTCACGAAAATTGTTTCCAACAAGTTACTGATTTTAAAAAACAGCTCTCTTCGCTAGCATACTGAAGATCAAATGGCCAGAAAGAATAAGCAACAAGAAACTGAGGAAACAAACGAACAGACGACAGCCGATCGCTCAAAAAATATGTAGGAGAAAGTGGAGATGGATAGGGTATACATTGGGGAGGCCACCGAATGAAATCGCGCGCCAGGCCATTGCTCGAGTAGCACCCGAATGGCAAGCGACAAGGGAGTTGTCCTAGGGTGATATGGAGGATATCATGTGGCGAGGAAGAGATGAAAGATTATGGCCAATCGTGGACTCAGCTGAAGAGGACCGCAGAAGACAGAACAAATTGGAGATGTGTTGTTGAAGTCCTGCGTTCCACTAGGAACTCAAGTGAACAATAATAATAATAATGAAAAATGATATTTTCAGGTGTTTTTGTAGGTATTTGATTAGTTTCAAGCTTAATCACAGATTTATATCAGTTAAAGAACCACTGAAAACCAGGAGATGCTGGGGACCTGTTTTGTGCACACCCATGACTCCAAAAAAGTATTGAACCCCAGGGCCTTCAGGTTATGAGGCGAGCTCGTTGACTATTCGACCAGGGACACGGAATCCAATAGTCCGTGAATTGTAACCTATGTGAATTCGCGGTTAGTTAGATTTCATGGGCTATTTGATCCCGTTCCAGTGATTGAGTAGTCAACGAGCTCACGTTGTAACCTGAAGGCCCTGAGTTCGAATACTTGGTGGTGTTATAAGTGTGTGTACTACTGGAGAGTCCCTAAGGTGGGTGAAACAACTCTCAAGTACTTCTTTGTTTTCAGTAATTCTCTAACTCATATTAATCCGTGATCAAACTTGAATAATAATAGTATGATACGTGACATGTTGTTATTGTGATTCATTTTATAATTTGTTCACTGTGTCATTGAAATTATTATTATTTTTCTATGTCAGTGATACTCATCAGATCAGTTCGTCGGGTAATGCCGGTTCGAATTCATGGGATATACAAGGTCTAAACATCACGACCTATAGTTCAGCTAATAGAAATAGACAAAGCGATGACGAGATCAACGTGCAAGGTGTGTATGTGTGTGTATGATCTTATTACTTTTATTTTACATCTCAATAATATTTTGTCATATATTTGCATCGTTTTACTTTGTTTATTTAAAGTCTGATGTTTATATCCAACTTAGATACAGGTTGTTAGTCTGTACACTTAAACTGTTGTTATAGCCTTTTATATCTACCTGTCTACCTAATCTATACTTGTGTTGCACTTCAAAGTTCAAAATATCACTAGTTCTTTATTAATACTATTATTATTCGGCTCCTTTGGTTATAAATTTGTGCACTTCATTTGTAGACTAATTAAATTTGAATATAATTTCAAACTATATACTTAAAAAACACACAGGAGTAAATGTCTCATACTAACAGAGTGAATTATTAAAAAGCCATAGAATCAATGGACAATAATGATTAACAACCAACGGGGCTTTCCATACTTCTGTTTAGTTAAGGAAACCTGTTAAAGAGATTTCTACAAGCAGTGTGGTAGAGCTGTAGTAGTTCATTGGTCTAGGCACTCTACTTCCAACCACTAAGGGAGACGGGTTCGAACCCCCTACCCTACCTACCAAGTATCATTAACCCTTACACAATAGGTGGTGCGTCGGTGATTCAGCGGTAGAACGCTCGCCAACTACACTTCATGTGGTGTGGGCACCGGTCCTCGGCTGACGCACTCCTAAACCTCGCTGAACTGGTAATAAGACTGGTAAAGAAGGAAAGCTGGGCGTAAGGGGATAGCAACCCCACCCCGTAAAAATGAAAACTACTGCTACTGAAATTTCAAATCTCAAGTTTGAAGCCCTTTGTTCCACTTGGAACACAAAAGGAATAATTACACAATAGGTATGGCCCATTACCAGCTGCATGAAATTGCATATGGTTTTTGAGCCGCTGAAAAATCCTGATTAATTCAGCTGATGAGATCGTCAATCACACTATTAGAAGTACACAATATCTCACTTCATAGTGATATTTTCTCAGCACAGTTTTATAATCTTGTATGAACTGTGAGAAACAGTTTGCATTTCGGTTATCCCAGTTTAAATGGGATTATTCGGTGGAGTATTAATATTTAATGTTCATACGTCTTACCTTTGGATTTGACCTGATGTATCTGTCTTAACAAATGATGTAACAGGTGCTCCCATTCGACAACGTCGAGCATTATTCATGTATTGAGAAGATTTCTGAAGCATTCTAGTACATTACTTATGATGTATTGAATTAAAAAATACTGAGCTAAAGACCTCCTGTTTTAGTTCTAACTGAAGTATTCTTCAAGTTGATGTTTTGTTCTCCGACACAACTTCTAGTAGCATCCTAATGATTATCTTGAGTGTGATTTATGAGATGGTGAACAGTGTAATTATTTTCACATGAGTACTAATACGAATTTAGTCTACTAGATTAATCATTGGCTGCATATTGTCTTTCTTCTGGATGATTGGATTGTCGTTCGTGCCTATCTGTTGAACATGAAAGTAGTTGATAACAGCGCTGACCCGTAGTGCAGCTTCAGCAAAATAAACTATATAAAATAGTGACTATTTAAATGCCATCAGTATTTTCTGTTTGTTATCTTTTTTGGAACCCCTTTTGTATTCCACCTCCGCAGAAACAGTTGTTGTATGATATTCATCGTCCTTACTTTTCTCCTGACCTTTTTTTTGAGACTAGTTTTAAAATTCATACAAATTTTGTTTTTGGATTACAGAAAACCCACCAAATCTATCTAATGATTCTGGGTCGGATGATGAAGATCGTTCCTCTCCGAATTCCTTACTTTGGTTTTTCCGTAAAGGTTTTAAGCCGCTGAGATTACAATCCCAACGTCCTTCTCCAACTGCTCCTGTTCACACTATATCCTTGTCTCCGTGCCTTCCATTTACATTGCGTCTTCAGTTGAATCGTTTACAGCTGGGATCTGTTTTCGACAAGTATGTTCACACTTTTTTAAAATTTGTATTTTATGTCAATTTCATAGCTACTATATCAAGTGGAAAGTGGATGACATGAAAAGGCTGGCTAGCTGCCTTTGATCATAGGCGTCTGCGTTCTATCTCCCATGTTAAGTGGTATAATAAGGTGAGCAGTATTGACGTTAGGCTTCGGTCGAGTGCTAGGTAAGGAGGGGAAATCAATCGACTAGGTTGTGAAGCCACAACGATTGAGATGGTTAGGACATGTGTTACTCATGCATGCCTAGCCATCGCCTTCCTCGACGGTCAATGTTAACTGACGTAGGATGAATCAAGTTGGAAAAGAGCAAGCTAGTGGTGGTCAAACCAAAACATTCTTTTTGCCTCATATTTCTGTTTATTATCTCTCTTCTCTTGCTTTGTGTGCTACATGGAGAGAGTGTGGCAACCCGAACTGGTGCACATCTATGCAAAGTTGTACGTTGAAACCAGTCAGTCAGTCAGTCAGACTGTGTGATGAATAAAATTTCAACTTTTTCGTTCGGCAGTATATTTTCTAGTTTGTCTTAATTAAATTTTGGCTTTATTGTAGCTTTATTGTTTAACTAATTCTCGTTAGAAATTTTTTTTATAAAACTGTTATGAATATGTTTTATAGCCACAGTAAAAAAATTATATCTTTATTCAAAACTAAGAGAAACCAGTGATTTAACGCATGAAAACAAATCTTTTTTTAACAGTTGTATCGTGACAATTTCTAAAACTACTTAGTAGTTAGTTGTGTAAGCTAAAGTGATTCACGCGGGAGTTGAATCAGCCACCTGTTGCTTCAATGTGACTAAGCCTTTTCTTTTTAACCAATGTGCTTTTAAACTAATCAATGTCTGATCAGGTTTTCCTTTTATGTTGTGGATGACGTGAATGGACAAGTGTTTTTGTAAGTCTACAAGAACCCGGAGCTGTTTTCGACGCTCTGTTTTGACCGATCGTTACATGTAGCTGTCAGCTAGGTTGTGATTTTCAATTCCTTTTGTAGGACATAATAGAATAGCTGCAGTAGGAAGTAATTCGTGACCAGTGGGGTTCATCATATCAAGGTGAAGGGGATGCTTATCGAAGGCATTGGTAGGGGTTATATCATGACTTGACAAAGTTAGAATTCAGGGATCATTAAATTCCAGCCCAAATGGTTAGCGAGTTTGGTCTCGTAACCCGAAGGTCCAGGGCTTGACCCTCGGTGAGCTCGTGGGTGTGCGTTGATGAAGAGTCCCGAAATAGGACGAAACGGCTGTCTGGTGCTCCCTGGCTTTTGATGATCTCTCTAACTGGTATTGATTCGTGACGAAGATAAGATCTAACAATTGAAATTGTATAATATCAGTTGGAAGGTATTTTCAAGTGTATGCCTAAGTGTTGGTTTTCACACAAAAGACGAGATGTGCTTTTTTTCTTCTTCTTGTTTTTTTTAGAAGCTTCACTATGCTTGAAACAATTTTGTGTTCTATCTTAGCCGCTTTGGTCAGTATTGTCGGTTACTATACTTTGCGCACATTAAGCTTTCAAGATTATGGACCTTTGGCGTGTTTTACAATAGCAGGTTGTCATTATTCACTAATCAAAAGTGTTCAACCAGATCCAGCTTCACCTAGACATGGATATAATCGTGTCATTGTATTCACGCGTTCCGTCTTCTTTTGTTTCCTTGCTTCAATCTATCTATTATCCAACTATCTATGTCAATCACCAAAATCAGTACTAACAACGACAACAGCAACAGCAGGCCAGAGATCCAGTTTAGAGCATACTGGTGAACTTCGCTTTGAATCGACTATATCATTCCAGTCAGCATCACAAATGTTACCATCGAGTGTTAGTGAAACAAGTGAATTTTCAGTGGAGAAAATGATTTGGCGAATGCCTAATATTTATATATCATCACAAAGTACAAAAACATCAGATTCTGCTACAATTAAATTTTATGGAATTGATTTATCAGTCAAGCGATTTTCTTATGTAGTTCAATGTGCATCTGCTTATGTGATTCTTATCTTCCCGATATTATTTTGTTGTGGTCTAATGCCTCAGATAAACACAGTTCTCATTTATGCCTTAGAACAATTGGATATTCATATTTTTGGTGCAAGTGGTATGTACACCTGGATTTTAATTGGGATTATGTTTTATTCTACTTTGTTGTGTGTGTGTGTGTGTGTGTGTGAAAAGATTTTTTTATCTAGTTAATATCGAGGCATAAACACTATCACACTTCGTTGAATTTAGTTCCAGGTAGTTTTGCTTACCTGTAATACGACTAATTCATTCTCTCAAGTTTTTCTATGCTAGAGGATTTTTAAAGCGCATATAGTAGTCTTGAGGATATTTCGATTTACAGTGAACTTCGGTGCCTGTCAGTAGCAGTGCATTCATTAACGATTACTGTATAATTTAATGATTCCCATTTTAGCATTTTTTATTTATTCCTTTACGTCCCCAGTGCAACATAGAGCTTCAAACTAGAGGCTTGAAGTTTCGGTAGCAGTGGTGTGTGTTTTTACGGGATGTGATTGCTAGCCTCATGCCCAACCTTCCCTCTTTACCAATCTTACTACTGGTTTAGCGAGGTAAATGAGTGCGTCGGCTGGGAATCGAACCCTGGACCACATGAGGCGTGGTTGATGAGCGTTCTACCGTCGTGCCACCGACGCACCATTATAGGACTAAGAACACTATATTTAGCGAAGTGACTCTTTCTAGCGCATTTATTATTAAGCTGTACAATCGTATATATATAATATCCTATGAGTAAATTTAAATACAAGGTGTGAATACCTAAAGTAATAATAGTATGAAATGTAATTAAAATGTTTGTCATTATAATCACAGTTAAATATCAAATGGTTATACAAATAATGTCATACATAGTAGAATAGAGTCGGTTTTCAGGGATTTGATTGGTTACAACTTTTATCACGAGTGGACATCATTTAAAGAACCATTGGAAAACCTGGGACTAATAGGCAGCTGTTTCGTCCTAGTTTGGGCCTCTTCACCAGTACCCATCTACTGAGGTTCGAACCCCAGGACCTTCTAGTTACCTTGTAAGCTCGTAGACCACTCAGCAACTGGAGTCCTATCCAATGGCTCATGAATTGCAGTTTATAGAATGTACAGATATTTGAAGGGGATATAACATTAAAGGATTAGTAGGCAACTAAACGTTACATAACATGATGGGAAATTTGATAAGGTAGAATTTAACATTGCGAAAATTTTTTTATAATTTTGGAATAACAAATGGGACAAGTGAAATAATACCGGAAAAAGCTCAAAGTGAGAATAATAATAGTAACAATAATAATAACAATAATCGGATTAATGAGGGAAAGGTACATAAATCAACTAAATAAACAAAATAGATGAATAACTGTTTATCCCTCTACAACCAAGGCAGAAATAGGGATTTAACATACTTCTTTTATAACAAATTAAACGTGGCAAGTTAACATGAATTCGATAGATGATCTTTAAATCATGATCAGGGTTGTTAGAGTGACAGAAGTCGATAAAGTGTTCTGCACACCTTTCCTTTCTCCCTTTTAAAACCATGCTGGAATATGTTCTCGTATCCGTGTGGGAAGCTTTCTTTGGTTACGGCCATTGTGCCCTGCTCCACAAGAGCAGGTGAACTGATAAATGCACATGGAGGTGAGACGTAGGACAACTTACAGCTGGTAAAGGTAGGTCATTTGGGGCTTTTTGTAACGAAGAACGTCTTGCCGACTGATTTAGAGAGACTATTTTTGAGCGTATCTGAATCCTGATCACCTTTGAATTACAAAGTCATGAATATGGTTTTCTTTGGGACTGAGTCAGTGACCGGTTTAGATTGCTTATCTCTCGTGCTTTTATCAAAAAATCGGTTCGTGTAATTATTTCCTGCGAGCGTGGCTTTTAGGAAGGAAAGTTCTACATTTCCACAGTCAGTCATTTGCCGGTGATCAGTTCATACTGGTTACTACTACTACTTATACTACTTATTTGTTCTAAATGTTGATGTCTAGCTTATGCTTGTATTATAATATTCGCACTAATTAGTAACTTTGATGACCCATTCATCCTGTTAATTAGTTCGAATCAATTAACACCACTCAATGGGGGTGGGTGGGCAGATGAGAACAATGTATAATTACACCCAACGGTTGTTCCACTGGGTTGAAAATGCACATACTTGAAAACTATTTGATGAATAAAGCCAGCTCATAAACTCAATTTGTGTGTAGCATTCTTTGTTTGGGAAGGGGAGGGAGAGGGAGAGAGAGAGGGTTGGTGTTAATTAACATCAAATAAACTGGTTATATAATCCATGGGATAATGAAATTATGAGAAAATCGTCACTAATGTATCAGTGTTTTTCAGTGTTCATAATGCTATCCCATTTCAGTGTCCCATGAACCTGTTTGCTAGTTATTATTGTTTTTAAGTATTCATTTTCGAGTAACAATTATTTCATTAGTCATAATCAATAATTTCTAGTGTCTAAATGGGCGGTTGCGTGGCCTACCCCCTTTTGAAATGGCGCCATCTGTTTCGTTTTTCCGGTGGGTATTAGCGCGTTTCAGTAAGTAGGCCGAATATACTAGCATAATACATTTCAAATACATTTCACTTTTAAACTTACTGCCTCTTTTAATCCATTACACTGCGCATATATCAGTATCAAGCGACATTTTCTGATAAAAGTACAGTAGGTGTAATGTTCAAGAACATTAAGCCACCAATATTATGTACTCCAGGACAGAATTGCTAGTGTGGAGTTCCATTTTAAAACCATATAAAAATATAACTTCTTATTAGGCCACCACAGCAACACTTTGTGACGCTACAGTTAGCGAGATATGCAATAAAGCCATTCTGTTTAATTTTTTTGATCAAATAACGTCTCTCACACTGTACACATCATTATCGAATACGTTGATTTTGCAGTTCGTTCCTGTTCAAATCGAGAGATTGTATATCATCACTACTAGTTTGGTCTTGTAGATAAATATGTGAATTACTGAATTAGGTAATTATTTACTTATGCTTGGGTTATACATGGATGTGAAATATTAACTTTTAGTATCTGAATTTAGTTCTGTATGTGATATAACCTTAAAGAATAAACATCAAATGGGTCTGACTGACCTAATTCAAGAAAGTGTTGACAAATATAAGATCTCATCATTGTGCGTCTGTCTTTCATCAACCAAACCTGGTAGTGTTCAGCGATACCTCTCCAGGGTACATGCTTACAACATCCAATATGATTAGCTTCATAGGATCATGTGAAAGAGTACATGCACATAAATGTGGACGTAAGTGGTAGTTTATCCTTCACGAATTACCGAATCATAGTCTGGCCTCACTTATCCTTTAGAGTTATAAACATGGCTAAATTCAGTCACTGTAAAAATTATTTACTAGTCAAAAAAGATATATAAAATATATTTCTGTAGTCACTTAATGAAAAGAGGAAATGCGTGTAACTGATCAGAAGTGGTTTCATTCATTCATGTACTACTACTATTATTCCCTTTGGTTCCGATCGCAATATAGGGCTTCGGTTGGAAATCACCATTCCAATCTGCTGTCTACAGTCTTTTTTTTAACTGGTTCCGTAATCACCCAGTGGGTTTCATTTCCTTCTTCTCACATAATATCTTTCAAGTCACCCTCGGTGGCCCAATCAGTCGTTTCTTATTCATGTGAACACTTATTATCAAAATAAAATTAGGCCTATACTTTCATTCCTTTCAAATTTGCACTTTCCTTTTTTGATTTCTTTTCATATATGTGTCAGATGGTATTAATTAATGTCCATACATTTTGTAAGAAGCATTATTGTTGCTAACTAGTAAGGGAAATTAGTGCAGATGTGATATTAATGCCCCTGACTAGAGACAGACGATGGGTCCGTCTCAGGTTAGAAGACAACAGATTAAGTTTATTGCTAAATGTGTGAATATGAGCATAGTTATCCAATTGTCGTTTTCTATTTCTTCCGTAATATATCATCGACTTAAAGTTTGAGTACGAGGTGACATCGATTAGGGATTACTGGACAGCTATTTTATCCTAGTTTCGGATGATGGGTTGTGACCAGTGGGGTCTGCCATGTTGGGTGTGAGGACAAATACTCGAGAATGACATTGGCTGGTAGTAGCGCTAAAATCACGAATTGGTAGGAGTTAGAATTCATGGGCCGGTCATTGACTCGGGTCTCAGTGGCTGAATGGTCTACGAGCCTGGTTTGTAACTGGAAGGTCATGGATTCGAACCCCGGTGAGTAGGTACTGGTAAAGAGTTCCAGGCTGGGACGAAACGGCTGCCTATTACTCCCTTCTTTTCCCATGGTTCTCTAAGTGATGTCCGCTCGTGATGAAACTCGGAAAAATCAAATCTCTGCAAACAAACTCTTGAAAATATCGTTAATTGTTAATAAGGATAATGCAAATGTAGTGTTTAAAGTACACTCTGTAAAGTGAATAAAATAGTGTTTTTATTCAGGGAAATTACTTATCAATTGGCATATTTGTTTTATGTCATATTTACCTGTTTCGAGTTAATCTGTTCAGTTTTTTGTTGTAGAAATTTATCTACTCTATTTCTGTTTTTGTTATTTTAGGTACTACTGGACTTTTCTCAGTCACATTCTCAATCCTACGAACGTTTATAGTGATAGGAATAACTTTTATTCCGTGTCATTATGCAGTACAAGTAAGTTTTCAATGGATAATGTTGTACTAAGGGTTTCAACACATTGTTTACGGTGTATGTGCGTAGTTATTATGTCATCACAATGATTAAAAAGCCAGCCTGTTTGAAACCTGGGCTACCAAAATACTCCATCATTATATTGCATATAACTTCTCTTGTTCAATTCGTTTTAATCTATTAAAATATGACCTCTAATGGTGTTTTAAACTCTCATGAGTATTTAAAATGTTTACAAGCTGCTGAATAGCAAGTTCCTACTACACTTGAGAAAAAGCGTAATCGTGGGTGACAGCGTATCCCAATACATGAGATAACTATCTCTGAGATTTTCAGTACTAACTACCATTGCCTAAGAAATAAGACTGATTACCTGCAGTCTTCAGTCACTCAGTTATTCAGTTACTTTTCATTATGTCCTTGGGTCAGAAAATTTACTCTTGCACCTTTCATAATTGGCTTTTAACCAAATATGTGCATTTCTCGATGGAGGCGAAGAAAAGATATCATAAGGGATTCGTTTTCTCTTTACTTCAGACAGTAGTGTCACGTGACTTACTGTCAGTTACTATTTCATTTGAGGATCCTTGGCATAAAGGGATTGTTGCGTAATAATTCCTGCTGAAAAATTCCGCACATCACATAAAAACTGTTCAGAATAAAGCCATTATCATTGTGTAATTTGTAAGTAGAATTACTTAGCTTAATCCCTAGTTGATATGATTTGATTTGCAGGACACACCTTTACCTGACTCACATTTTATACCTTTTGTCACTCATCAGTGAGGTGTGATTGTAGCTATATAACTCGAATCCTCGTCATTCAATTTCGAATTCAAAGACTGTATTACTAAGCTATTCTGGTTGGAATATTTAGAAGTGTTTCTGTGTGGTTGAGAGGCTTGGCGCGTCACCGTGGGGATTTCCAACAGCCTGCAGAATTTTATCAATACTTACCTTCACTGGATCGATACTGGAGATCAGATGGCGAGAAAAGACTAACGACAAGAGACTGACAAAGAATATGTTGCCCAAAAATATCCTGAAGGAGATGGCAAGGAATTGGACATAATCTGTGGGGCCCGTTGCGTGTCATCATGCGCCACACCCTAGAGTGGACCCCCCAGTGGGAAACGACGAGTTGGGCTGGTGTCTGAGGTTGACATGGAGGCGATTGTATGAGAAGAAGAAAATGAAGGCTTGTTGGCAATCGTGGAGCGAGTTAAAAAGGACTGCAGAGAACAAAAGGAAGTTGAGATGTGCAGTCGAGGTCCTATGTTCCATTCGCAACCCAAGGAACTAATATTAATATCTAAAAGAATTTGAGTCTCGATTTGTTGGAGGAGACAGTTGTTTCAAAACTCGTATTGATCTAAATCGTTAGGATTTACGTGCTTTTTCCCATCGTTTAGTAATTAGGTCTTACTTGCGAACTGTTACACTGCGTAAATTAATGGTTGGATGCTTCAAGTGATACGGCTATAATTCAGTTTCTGGTGACTTGTTGTGGTTATGATGTTACTGTTTTTTTCAGTTTATCGTTTTTGCCCTGAGGATGTTTTTGCGTATCTGTTGATTTCATCATTTTCTTTTGTTTTGTTGGCGGCTTTTCTGTTTGCTCACCTCCTATTGTTTAGGTTCGTACTTATTTTCTCAACTGTCGTAGTATGATGAACTTTCTGTACCTCAGTTATTGTCATCTATGTTTTTCTCAAAAACATAATTAGGGGGGCTTCGATATGAAAAGAAACTAAGTGATTGAAGTACCTAGGGTAGTTTTCCTAATCCAAGTCAGGAAGTTGGCAAATGTTTAGATTTTTCCATTCATTGACATTTAGTTGTGAATCCGACAACGGTCCCTTTGAGTGCAAAAGCACGGGTGACCTTGAGCCAACCAATTAGGAAATACGATGACTTTTGCATAAAAATGACGTTCATTAAGTAGAGAAATACATGAAAATACATTAAACAGGATATTTTTCCCTGACATGACTTAAAAATACCTTCAAATTATTATGAGGAATAACAGTGTTTTGAAGTTAGATCAGTTTCTGTGTATGTATTCACCACCGAGGTGACTGAAGATGAGTTCTAATTGCTGCCCATTTATTGCTCTTATCCTGTTTCTCAGTATTCCTCAAAAGACCTCTCTATTGAATTAGTATGGGTTCCAGTAAGACGATTGGCAACAATTTACTGGGAAAATATGGATAATAAAAATATATAATACCACCCCTTAACCTAAACTTAATCATAACCCTGATTCTGACTTTAACCTTGATCCTAACCCTAATCATGACCGTAACTCTAACGAGTTATTAACACATTGTCCAAGAAGTACTCGAAAATGAGATCGGAATGAAATTTGCACTATAATGACACTACAATAATGGCAGATCTCATTATTCAACGAATAGTATGCACTCGAGGTCATTGGAGGGTTCACACTCTTGAGTCGTTATACTTGACCATGTATCTTTTATCACTAATATAAATAATAACTCCATGAACACGTCGAAATGCTTCAACTAAAGACGATTTGGAGTCTTTCTTTTTTCAGATTGATGGTGAAATAGTTAACGTGTACACGCATACCAATTATTCATCTTATACATTAACTTGATTTCTGCTTTGATTATCGATTACAGTGATAAATCCAAATCTCTTATGCAATCGTCAAATCGACTGTATTTTAGCTCTGTTTGTCTCTCTCTCTCTATTTCTCTGCGTGTTTTTCATAAATCATTGTTTGCTTCAATGATTAGTTAGTCATACTGGTGTTTCTGATATGCAGGTGTACAACACCTGCTGATTTATTTAGTCATATGTGTAAGACCTTAGTCTTATCAAATTCTCTACCCTGCTTGACTAAATAATAAAATTACCAAAATGTGACTAAGCTTTAGTGCAGTAACTCGGCTTTTTTTTTCTATTATTTAATTTTTGTAGCGTGTATCGATTAAAGTATCTAATTTTCTTTATTTTGTGTGTGTGTGTGTGTGTGGTCATAAATTTTAAATTTTCTCTGATTTTACTGTTGTAAGTAATTCTGTGTGACACATTTATCTAGACACTTTTAGCGGTTTTTGGTAGTGCATTCGAAATCAGCGGTACTTGTAAGAATAACTTAAACCGTCAGATTAGTGATTTGCACACAAGCACACACACACACCTGCTATATAAATACAGGCCTAGTACATGTAATTTTGGGCTCACTAAGCTGCAGTTTCCAACTTAAATTGATGGTGAACTTTGTTTTGCCTTATTAGCATCTTTTATTAGAAATACTCTTTCGAGGATGAAGGTACATTCTTCCAACCGATGCATTACAAGTAGGTAGGAACGCTTGCATTAGGTTTCCATGCCAGTCAGTCCTCTCAGAGGTCGCTCATTTAAGTGAATACTAATGAAATTTACACATTGGATCATAGGAATTATTAAAAAGACAGTAACAGCGAAGACAATTTTCTTTTCGATGAAGTTATGAGCTAGACTGCACATTCGTGTATTTATAGTAAGTGTGTGAGAAAGTTGCAGAATTATTTCCGGCGGTCAAAGGTTCAATTAATAAAATTACTAAGTGTGATAAAGACATGATAAGATGATAATTACTGAAAACTTGACTGTTTGTGCAAATTACGGACTAAGGATGTAATTATAACAAAATAGGTAGGAAGTTCGGACATGTATAAAAGTTAGAAAGAAGCAACTGAATCTAGTGATGCAGATAGGACTTAAAAACGTAAAAATAGCAGAAATAAACAAGAAGGTTGGATAATAATAATAATAATAGGATAATCATTAATGGTGGGACTGACTTTTCATGATGGTCACAGTAGGGACAATGGTTGGACGTATTGCTTTTGAACACAGAGTGGGCGTGAGTTTTTGGTGATATTGGGCCAGGCTGGAAAAGAGCTAGCGGCGGTCAAACGAAAACATGGCACCAGTCAATGAAATCCACAACAGTTAGTCTAAGCGACGTAGGAAGGTGTAGACTTCCTGGTGGGGTCCTCGGGACGGTAAAAACCAATGGTTGGAAACAATTGGTGACATGGCTCAAAATCGTTGTCAATGGCTAGCACAGATGCATCCACTCCTTGTGACTTATGATTTCCAATGAAACTGTTTTGTTCTTCGTTATTACTATTCCTTTGTCTCACACCTCTGTTTACTGTCTGTAAGATGCATTTCTTCTACTTTCTTCTCTTGCTTTGTGTGCTACAGGGAGTGTGGCGACTTGAACTGCCGCACATATGTGCAAAGTTTTATGTCGAAAACTGACCGACCGACCGACCTGAGTTTTTGGATTGCTAGTGTCTCAGCTATTCCTAGATGCCTTGATTCCACTACCTTTGATGGGTTTGATCGGATCTTGTATATGGCTTTGAAGGACTTTTCAGATGGAGATGAATGTCCCGAATTCACCTGATGTTCTGTTACCGAGCTGTATTTGCCCTTGTATTTCCCCTCCTGCTAACCATGCTGGATAATGTTCCCGAGCACGTTTTACAAGCGGACGCTTGGTACGCCCAATGTACTCGGCTCCACACAAGCAAAGGAATTGGCACATGCATGTTGAAGTAGCCCAGTGCGACAGCTTGTCTTTCACGTACTGGTTGAATGGTGTCTTGCAGGAAAATGTTACTCGTAGGCTGGCGGCGAAGTATGTTTTACTGCGAGATTTCGAAAGCCGTCTACGGAGAAGTTCTATTTTGATATCGCTTTTAAATTTGAGGTTCAGTATCAGTATCTTTCTGGGGGTGAGTTGGACCTTTTCGGGTGTTTTCTTTGGTTTTAGATTCTTGTCTATGAATCTTGGTGAAGGGAAACCACTTTCTATCAATCTCCCTCGGCAATTACATAATTCTTCGTCAGTTGACTCCTCAGTGCAAGTTTTCCGGTTGTTCGAGGGAAGTGGGTGTATTAGGTTTCCTTTTCTGCTTAGACGCGCACGACTTTAAAAGTTGATAAATTGTTGGTTCCATGTGGGCTTCTTGGGACGTGTATACTGCTCAGCAGTTCGCTCCGTCCTTCTCTATGGCGGTGAGACGTGGCCATTGAGAGCGGAAGACATGAAGAGATTTGCTGTTTTTGACCACAGATGTTTACGATCTCTTTCTCGCGTTAGGTGGTATAATAAGGTAAGTAATGTTGACATTAGGCGTAGAGTGTTGAGCAAAGAGGGAAAATCAATCGAAGAGGCTATGAAGTTACATAGATTGAGATGGCTAGGTCACGTGCTGCGCATGCCTAGCCATCGCCTCCCCCGACGGGCATTACTAGCTGATATAGGTGCAGGTTGGAAAAGAGTAAGTGGTGGCCAAACAAAAACATGGCCTCATCAGTCCATGAAATCCCTGACAGTTAAACTGAGTCAGGTAGGGAGATGCAGACTTCCGGGTTGGGGCCCTCGGGACTCTAAGAATCAATGGCTGGAGACAATAGGTGACATGGCTCAAAATCGTTGTCAATGGCTTACGCAGATGTATTCAGTCTCTGTAATCTTTCATATTCCTCTCTACCATTACTCATACTGTTTCACTCTTATACTTGTCAAAACTCTATTGATTCTCTTCACTCATCTTCTTGTCTACCTTTGTGTGCTATTTGGAACGTGGCAACTTGAACTGCTGCACTTCGGTGCCAAGTTCTATGTTGAATCCAGACAGACAGAGACAGGGCTTCTTGTAGATGAGTCTTCTCAGTGAGTTGTTAGCATTCCTTTGCAGTTGAAAATCGAGGAAATGAAACATTGAGTCAGACTGGAATTTTTGTTAATGTAGTATGCGATTGGGATGAGATCATTTGTCTAGCTAATTACGTTCTCGAATTGGATTTTCGTGTGTGGCTCATTCACTTTAGATGTTGCATCACAAAACTTTGGTCCAAGTGCTAAGATTTGCATTTGAATTGGTGATAGTGAAACATCAGAATGATTGAATATATATTTTTCTGGGCCAGTAGGAAAATCTGTTTTTTTGGAAAGAAACTCTAGGCTTTGGTTTAATTTCATTATGACATCATCTGTTCTTTTCTTTGTAACTGTATTGGCGTAGTTCTCGAATGAAGTTCGTTCATCTTCCGATAACTCTCTCTCCACCTACTTATATTAATTCCTAGAATTTTGGCACTGTCCCACCCACCCTATTGTATGGTTGTGTGTTAATGCATGTAGTGCAATGCAGTACTGATGTTCTGATAATCTCACTACTCCTGATCTACTAGTCTGACCTATGTATTTGACTTAACTCACAGTCATTGCGAGGTATTCTGTAAATTTTATATTATTTTGTTTAATTGGGTCAACCTACAGGATCCTCTAGCCTACAGAGCTTGTCCCTGAGTAGTGAGTTTGTAGGTTTAAATGCCACCCTAATTCCTACTTTATTGAGAATCCTACGTATGTCATCATATGTCCCCTCCTTGTATGGTGAAACTACTGTAGATGCCTTATATTCTTTCTTATTTATGTCATTTTTAGTTTCATCATTTTATTTTTTTCCACCTTTTCTCATCTTCCTAATGAATTTATTTCATAGGATAGTTATTTAACACCAACCAGCTATTCTTCTATCTGTTTCATTCCATCGTTTAGGTTTTTAGTTGTATTACTACTTAGTAGTGTTGCTTGGTTTGTTAGACAGACACTTGACTAAGGCTGCCTTTACAGATAGAATAAGAGATGAGATGAGTTTAAGTCTAAATATCTATTAGCAGAATGCGTTGGTTTCTGTATAAACGCTAGTGTGCAGTTTATCTTCTCATCTCTAATGGAGTTATACTCTACCACAGTGCCTAAGTCTTATACTTATATCGATGAAGCTAACACATGCATATATCAGAATAATGATACACAGTTTAGAAGAAAAAACTGATGATGATTACAGAGTTAGTCGAAACATCCAAATGACTACAAATATTGATTAGATTAGATCTATGAGAGAAGATTTTCCAAACAATTTTTGCGTTAAATTGAACATGTGTATGTCTGGGTTATTTTCCCGAACTCTCCCCCCACCCTCACACAACACAACTGATTCTGTTTGTCGTTTATCGTTTGTTATTATTTTCACACAGATACTGGTTATTATCATATAAGTAATAAATATATTTTAATATAACTGTGTACAAAAGTGAAAACTATTCTGCACTCTAACTGTTCATTTCGATGTTCCAGTAGGGTTTATTTAATGTCTAGCAATGCAGGTATTCATAGTCGATTTTACGAAAACCATTTGATCATTTAAGAGGCATTACACCTGTTAAACGAGCATATTGGAGTTTCAGAGTGTTATTATTGATTACTGAGAGAGTAGTATTGTATACGATTGTCTGTTATTCGGGAATGTTTACGTACTGTGATCAATTCTTGGTTGAAATTTTCTGTTTTATACTTTTTTATATGCCTGAAATATTTTGTTTTTTGATATTTTCTTTCATTTCTCCTTTAAGCAAACAAGTCCTGAGTCTATCGTCTTCTCTGTATTCTGGGGTGCAGAGATAGCTCTATGCTTTCTTCTGAGTCGTCTACCATCGAATATAATGCTGTATGGAACTCTTCTACCTTCAGCTGATCGTCGTGTTTACTACTTGAATCGTATTCGTATTTGTTTCTACAATGTTTGGTATACACTGACTACACGGCCGAATTTATTAAGTCGTACACGACGACGTTGGTCAAAGAAAAAGAAATCTCAAGTAGCTCCAATTGATAAACAGCCTATATGGTGGAGGAGGCTGCCTCTATTATTCCCTAATCTTAATATGAAATCTGCAAATGCAATGATTAGGCATAAAGATGATAGTAATGCTGCTGAAGAATTTTTACTTACTCGTTTAACACATGCTACAGGAGTTGTAGATGTTGAAAGTGGATTACCAGGTTAGTTTAAAAGAAAGAAGTCTGATGTATATAACCCTGAAAGTTACAATGTCTCCCTTGTTATGCACTTTAGGTTGCATCAATGTGTTTTTAATCTGTTTTTCGCATTAATTATTGAGCTGTAATAAGCTTTCTACATACAAATACTCACCTATTGCTTAATTGTGATACTTTAGCAGCTCTCATTCATTTGATTGCATGGAGGATTTCATCATGAGCTGACATCAGCTAGAGAACCACTGGAATACCTGGGAGTACTTGACAGCTGTTTCGTCATAGTTTGGGGCTCTTCATCAGTACGCACCCACCGCCGGGTTCGAACCCAGGATCTTCTGTTTACAAGACGAGTTAGCTCGTAGACCATTGAACCACTGGGATCCGATCCAATGGTCCTTGAATTCTAACTTCTGCCAATTCACGACATAGCGCGACCATTTATTTATTTAAAAAAATACGTTTTGATAAATTTCTGTTGACTTAATTAATAGTAAGCAGTACTGCTTGATTTTATTGGTATCCAACTACTTATTTCAGTCAATCAGTAGTATATGAACTCATACATTTATGCTTGCTTTCTTGGCTACCATTTGAGGTATCACGCAGATTACTGTTTGTGGTCTGAATAATTTGGTTTCCAAAGGAAACTGGGGTTGAATTTCATTTCCTCGAAATGTTTAAATTGCAAGTCACGTATTAATTTGCAGATTGTGAATTTGATCCAACGTGTTACAAAATCTCCCGGGTGCCTAGCCAGAATTCTGATGATTTGAATTGATTCAGTTTTCTGTGCTGAGCTAAATTGGGTACACTGCTGATGAGCTCAGCCCCATACAGGCGAAACGGCCATTCGGTGTTTAGATCACTTTCATTTGGCCAGCAAGCACTACTGGCTGATGTCAGTCAGTAGCATGTAGCGTCACGGATTAATTGAAGTTAACCCGTCTCCTTCGGTCATCCATGCTTATCACCACCTTATGGTGCACTGAGGTACATTCCAGCATCGCGTGATCTGAAAATTACTTTCGAATTTATTTATGAAAATTTATCATTTCCGTTTCATTTACTCTGTCTACTCACTTCTTCATATCATTCATAAATCTTCATTTGTAATTCAGCGAAATCGTGCTGTAGGTTATCGTGATAAATTATGATTTTCCATTACGATGTATATATTTCCTATTTCCCTTTATCTTATTATTTATCAAAATCCAACAACTATATACCTCCTAAAGGTTTCTCAATCGAGGTAGAACTTAGTAGTTGCGCAACTTTTTTCGATTATTTTGTTTGAAGGCATACAGCTGTCTGAAAACTAAATGCAATAATTGTTGCTTCGTTGTGTTGTTTCAGTAGATATCACTAGTTAGAAAGGAATTGGATACATGCGTTGAGCAGCTTACCAGTCTGGCGGGCTAGTATAAATCATATACTACGAACGATAACTTTTTTTGCCCTAGATATATAACGATAAAAATTTTTTGTTTGGTCAGTCTATCCCATCTCATCGCATTGCTTACAGACAGATGGACTAAGAGAGAATTTGTCTCATCTCTGAATCACCTTATTTCAGTTTATACTAGCTGTATGTTCATAGTTTTCTAGTTTTGGCATTGTACTACTGACGATTCATTGTCCGTTTCGTTAAGGGCTTCCTCTGGGCGGGAATTCACTGCCACTCAGGAAGGAAGGAAGATGACTTATTCTTCTGGATCTATTTGTATACAGTCAAGCGAGTTACAGTGTTATTCAAAAAAAAGTGCCACACTTGTGTCGTCTTTTAAGTAGCTAGATTAGGGCATATTCCTCTTTTTGAAGTGGCGGCTCCTTTATGCGGTGGGTATTAGCGCGTTTCAATAACATAGGCCAAAATATACTAGCATGATTTCATGAAAATTCAATAATATATACGTCTAACTTTTAAACTTACTGTCTTTTTTAATCCATTTCATTGCGCTTATATGAATGAGTATCAAGCGACATTTCCTGATACAAGTGCAGCAAGTGTGTAGCGCAGTCCAACTACCATTACACTGCCGATATTATGTACGTCAGGAAATTATCTCTAATATGGAGTTTCATTTAAAAAGCATATAAAAAATGTAACTTCTCATTAAGTCACCATAGTAACACTTTAGGACGCTACACTTAGCTGTGATATTGCAATAAAGCCACTCCTAGATTCCGTTGCAGCTGAAAAAAGTTTAAACCTTTTCTTTGTATTGATACACCCTAAGGTATTTTATGGAATTAATATCAGTTTACTACCTAGAATTTCTGAAAAAAATAACAGTAAAGAGGTATGAACTGTTTTAAAATTGCAAATTATAGTAGATATATTCTATCACTGAAATCACCTAAAGTCCTATAATAGTGTGTGCATTCGACGGCAAAGTTCAACAATAGCGTCCCAAGAAATGCAAACGCACAAATGACCTTTAGCCGACCAATCATAAAAATAATTGACTTTTGCACACAAAATGACGTATATTTACAAGAAAATGCATGAAAACATCTTTCTCTGACATGACTTAAAAATACGTTCCAGTTATAATGAGGAGTATCAGTTGCTAAGTTAGACTAGTTTCTGTACATGTATTCACCGAGGTGACTAAAGATGAGCTGTTTTTGTGAATTGTTTATCTCTCTTATCCTGTTGTGCAGTCCTCCCCAAAGCCCTCGGTTGAACTACTATAGTTTCCAGTAAGAGGATCGACGACTACTTACCGGGAAAACAAATTAAACTAAATGATATCAACTCTAAATCTATCCCTAGGAGTAACCACAAACTTAATCCGGACCCTAACCCTAAACTTAACACTAACCCCAATTACAACCCTTATCATAACCGTAAACCTAATCCTAATGCTAATTATGACCCTGATCCTAACCCTAACCCCAGTACTTACCTTAACCTTAATTCTAACCCTAACGACCTATGAACACATTGTCGAAACAGTACTTAAAAACGTGATCTGAGTGAAATTGGCTGCTTAGTTGGGTGAACAGCGTTGATATTTCAGCTATGCTAATGACAAGTGCCGTCAGCCAACGTCTAGCATGCATCCAAGGTCATTGGAGCGTTCACACTCCCGGTGTAACAACAGAAGACAAGGGCCAGGCAACAGATCGTTTATTACGAAAAATCAACACGTATTTATAGATTTTTATGTACATCATTGTAGGTCAACGTTAGTAGAAAATACAGTCTGTTGATTGGTTGTTTCTCACACAAAGTTAACCTTGCATCGCTTGTGGCTGTGTCAGTTCATCTATATGTTAACTGTATCCGCCTGTCCACCTTGACCTTTGACCTCAATTACTGTCAACCAATTTGGCCAGCAAACATCTCTCACCACAAGATGACTAATATTTGATACATAAACATTGACCTCAATTACTGTCCACCACTTGGCTAGTAGACAGCTCTCACCACACCGGGACACGATTGTTGAACTTCGCCCATTCGACCTCCCACTTTTGATTTATATATTTAAACCCAGTTTGGTATTATTAGGCCATGTAGATAAACGTGTATATTGTTATTATGATTGTTACCTTTATACCTTTATTATTATTATTTTATCTTTTTAAAGTTCACAGTCATAGTCTGCCATCTCGCATGATCAGTCGTGATTGCATAACTCAATCTAGTTCTACACCCACTATCAAATACAGCTTACCTCATATTGATTCAAATGTTAAACAGCTTGAGACCACCACTACAACTGGCCTATCCACTTGGATTAGTTCTAAAGAGAGTGAAAATGATGACAGGAAGAAATCAACAACACTGGACAATTGTGACAGTCGGCCTACTAATAATACCTTACCGTCTGTAGTTTGTCAAAGCACACTAGTTAATTCTGACTCTGGAAGTATTCCACCAGCAGGCAGAGATAATTCTAGAGTGAATACTCAACAAGATCAAACGACAAGTTCATTATTATCAGATCAGCATTTGATACAATCGCATTTACAAAATGGTGATCCTTTACCAAATTTGATTAGAGCATCATTGATAGCTCGTTTTGAAAATGATATACTATCATCTATTGCCTGGTTTGTATTAGCATTTCTTGTTCACTTTACAAGTTGCTTTGGTTATACTTACTCTCAATCATATCAATATCGTATTTTAATCTGGATTAGTGTTGTATTGGGTTTCCTGCTACACTATATTTGGCCTAATTTTCGTAAGGTGAGTAATTTTCTGTCCTTGTTGCTTCTACTTAATGAATTGTAAATTGCGATAATGCTTTGTATCTTTCGATTTCAAAACTTTTTTGTATAATTTGTACTTATTATCCTGGCTAGATGCGTCGTTAACCTCATTTCTAGTTCTGATACACAACTTTTCAAATCTAGAAGTTTGTGCTCCCTAAATCTTAAATACTAACATGGTTAACAGTAATTTTAGAGTTGATACATGAAATTATGTGTGTCGGTGGCATAGCGGTTAGGACGCTCGCCGACCATGCACATGGTCCGGGGTTCGATCCCCGGCCGATGCACTCCTTTACCTCGCTAAGCCAGAAATAATGCTGGTGAAGAGGAAAGGTTCGGCATGAGGCTAGCAACCCCATCCTGTAAAACAAACACTGCTACAGAAACTTCAAGCCACTAGCTTGGAGCCCTATGTTCCACTGGTGAACGTGAAGGAAAAAAATAAAAAATAAAAAAAACAAACATGAAATTATGCCTTGGCGCGCAAGAAAACTAGTAGAACCAACCGGGGTTATTTGCGTCTGTCTCTGCTGTGTTCCATGATGAATCTGGATACTTTTTTTGACCTTCACGTTCCCCGGTGGAACATAGGGCTTCAAGGTAGTGGCTCGAAGTTTCTGTAGCAGTGTTTATTGTACAGGATGGGGTTGCTAGCCTCATGCCCAACCTTTCTTCTTCACCAGCATTATTTCTGGCTAAGCGAGGTGAAGGAGTGCGTCGGCCGGGGATCGAACCCCGGGCCATGTGCATGGTCGGCGAGCGTCCTAACCGCTATACCACCGATGAATCTGGATAAGCTCACTGATTATCACCGCCTTTATGTTTATGATAGATCTTTCAAATGTCTACAGTATCAGTTTTATGGCAAGTGATTTGCCTCTTATGGTAATAACGAGTAACAGGGAATTAGGGTTTTATGGCGGGAAAGAAATCTGAAAAGTGGCTACAAAATCGAAAAGACAGTAGCACGAAAGTTTGTCGCTAGTAGCCTTGATTTTACACCGGCTACAAAAGTGCATATTAAAGTTACTGCAGTTAAAAATCTTGTTCATTCCTTTGAGTTTTGAGTGGGCTTCAAGCCTAAAGTTCGAAGTGTTAGTAGCCGGCGTGTTAGTTTCTACTGAGTGGAGTCTGTAGCCTCGCACTTAACCTTCCCGCTTTACTGGGTTTACTACCAATTAGACAAGGCCTCAAAGTACGTCAACTGGGAATCGAACCCGGGCCACATGCGTAGTCGGCGACCATTCTACTATTGAATCACCGACGTACAAAGCGCTAGTTACGACCAGTTGGACAACATATATATATATATATATATATATATACATATATATTATTTCTAGTAATTTATGGCTTGTTAGAAATTGAGTTCCACTTTTATTCTCTCTTTGTTTCTCCTTTAGCCGTATCCATGGTTATTGCTTGTGAAGCCCATTATCAAGCCTGATAATCAAGGAAAATTACTACATTGGGAAATTGCTTATTTCTGGTTATGTTGGTTGGAAAGAAATCTGTTTCTACCTGCTATCACTATGTTCTCTGTAACTTATTCGTTTACTTCATTAATCAGTAAATTTGGACCTCTGTAAGTATCACATATTTAAAAATGGAGTAGAATATTATCAACGCCTTAATGATCCATGTTTCATAGATGTGTTATATGCATGTAAAAGACTTATTTTGCCATTTATTTTACAGTTGGTTTAATTCTAGAAGGATTTCCACGAGTACACTGAGCAAATCCGTATGTTTTTAGTTTTCTATTGACTCAGCTTTTAGTTAAGAAATCATACTTTCTTGCAGTTCCACGCGAAATTTTTGTGTTAATTTGGGAAGGCGTCGCATGAGTTGACACAAGATAATCTGTAATCCAGTTTTTATTTACTTAATACTGAGCTTCACTGTGTCAGTGAAAGATAATGTCGAATTTTTCAGTTGGATATTAGGTAGTAACTGATGTCATGCGTCTAGTTGTTCGTTTGGTGCAGACTGAATTCCATCAGTCAAGTTTGTAACGTGATTACCATGCTAGGTGGCACTCTGATCTGTTATAGTCAGATGGTTGGAGGCAATCAGCAGTAAGCCTTGGAAAATTTTCACTCCAAACTCATGACATTAGTTACTACCTAGTATCCTACAGGTGCACTCCTTTACCTCACTAAACCAGAAATAAAGCTGGTGAAGAGGAAAGGTTGGGCATCAGGCTAGCAACCCCATCCTGTAAAACTAAACACTGCTACAGAAACTTCAAGCCTTAAGTTCCACTGGGAACGTGAAGGAATAAAAAAAATCCTACAGGTGGCCAATCGCGAGCCCGAACAACTTATTGGTAATGTCTTTGACTTCGTCCTTGAGTGGTCTGGGTTGGCATTTCAGAAAAGACATGAGTCCCTTTAAGATTGCAGTCACACCTTGTTGAGGAGTGCTGACAGGCGCAAAACCCCTTGGTCTAAGGCTTATTGCTAATTTCCTCCAATCATCTAAGTTAAGTATCCAATCTAATATCCTTTAGTGAGTGTATAGTAGTTGTGTATATTTAGGGCTATAATAGTCCTTCTGCGGTTTCACCAATCCCTTTTTCTTCAAACTAGGTGGCCATTGGTATGTAATCTAAAGGTTATTCTCCAAATGTACTTATTATTATTATTGTCCCCTGGGGTTCCTAGTGGGACATAGGGCTTCAACTGCACGCCTCCACTTGTTTCTGTCTTCTGCTGTACTTTTCACTTGCATTCATGTTAGTCCATACTGTTTCATCTCCTCTTCACACGATCTCCTCCATGTCACCCTTGGACGTCCCACTCGCCGCTTCCCTTTCGGGTTCCACTCGAGCGATGGCCTGACGTGCGATGTCACCCAGCGGTCTCCTCAGCGGTTGTCCAATCCATCTCCACTTTCTCCTGCATATTTGTTGGGTGATTGGTTCTTGTTTTGTTTGTTCCCATAGTTTCTTGTTGGTGATTCTTTCTGGCCATCTGATCTTCACTATAGAGCGAAGACAGTTGTTGATAAAGGTCTGCAACAGGCTGTTGGAAATATTCTTTGTGACCCGCCAAGTTTCTGATCCGTATAGAAGAACTGACTGACTTGACGTTTGTATTGAAAATCCGAATTTTGTTGTTGATGTTGAGTGACGAAGATTTCCAAATGTACTTACAAATGGTATAATAATAAAGGTCGCAGTCAGTGTTCAGTTTAGGTTTCCATATAGTTGATTTTGGTCACTGAAAGTTGAAATGTAATAATGATGTGTGCTTTGAGTGTAGAAGACCTAGAAAGCTTTGTTTTAAACCTCTTTTCAGCAGACAGTCATTTTTAAAAATACCGAATGGATAAATAGTGCGTTATTTGTAAAAACTGTTACCTATACTGATTTAAGAATTGAGTTTTAATTGTAGGTATTTTTAGGACCTGTCACTATGGCGTCATTCTACTGGTAACGTAGAAATAGATTAGATCAGGTATTCGATATTGTGTTAATCTGTTTACTATTTAATAGAGATTCGGTTAGTATAATAGTGGTATAAATACCCTATGTTTACGTTTGATTGGATGTATGTATCTGCACTTGATTGATCAGTATACTTGTACGTGAATACAGTTTCTCATATAATTTTGACCTGTCTCTTTCTTTTTCCTCCACGTTCCCATTGGAACATAGGGCTTCAAGCCAGAGACTTGAAGTTTCTGTAACAGTGTTTATTTTTACGGAATAGGGTTGCTAACCTCATACCCAACCTTTCCTCTTTACCAGCTTTATTTCTGGCTTAGCGAGGTAAAGGAGTGCGTCGGCCGGGGATCGAACCCCGGACCATGTGTTTGGCCGGCGAGCGTCCTAACCGCTGTGCCACCGACGCCACAAAAGCCAGTGACTTGTCTCTATTGGTTATTTATTGTATGCGAATATTAATGGATAAATAAATTGTATAGTCTGAAAAGGAAGTTATTGAAAACGTTTGCTCGCTAATAATTATTCTCGATCAGCGTCTGATGGAATCAGGGTTGCTATTATGAACATCTCTGTACTGTCTGTATTTCAACACTTTTAAAGTATTTTTACGACAACTGTTGAATAAATAAATAACAAGTTAATTAGTCCAACCTTTTTAATTGACAACGTGAAAAATCAGTAAATTTCATCAGCAAGTTAGTCCTTGTTGACTGAACAGTAGCTGAAATAAATCAATAACCTAGTGGTGTGAGCATCTGAGCCTTGGTTAGAATGTTCAAGTATTTGGTGTTTTCAAGTGTTGATTTGTAGAGATCTGACTGGTTACTGGTTTGATCACAAGTTTATATTAATTACAGAACCACTGGATAGCTGTTTCGCTCTAGTTTGGGACTCTTCATCAGTACGAACCCACAGGGTTTCGAAGCCATGGCCTTGCAGTTACAAGGCGAGCTCCAGCTGGATCAAGTCCCAGTGGCTGAATAATCTGCGAGCCCATCCTGTAACCGGGAGTTCATGGGTCCGAACCCCAGTGGGTACGTACTACTGGAGAGTCTCAAACTAAGACGAAACAGCTGTCCAGTACTCACTGTCTTTCTAATGGTTCTTTGTTGTTTGTAAACTCATCTAACGAGTTCTAAATATAATGAAATTTGTATCTTAGATTCCAATGATACCAAAAACATTATTAAATATGTATCTATATGCATCTATTAATAAAATTCTGCATAATTCATTGTTACAATCTTTAGTCTCTTAAATTTACGCATAATATGAAAATTTATAATTCTGAAAATGTTCATTTTGAAAAATATATATAATCAGTCGTGTTGTTCAGTTCTAATTTAATCACCCTCATTCGGGTACTGATATTTACGAGATGATAGTAAGAAAAAAAAGAAATTATCCCAAAGTGTTTTACTAAAAAAACCAGCCTACACTTTATTGTAAATGGATACAATTTAAGTGTTTTCATCGTTAATGAATTATGCTACTATTAGATTAAGTCGTTTTAACTTTGTTTGTACAAATTACTAATGCACATTTTTTCCCCTCATCATATAAGACCCGATGAAGTTGATCAGGCTATTGATAAAATGATCACAGTGATGAAATGTTGAGGTGTAGGAGAACAGAAAGTTAATAGCTATTCCTTTTACTCAGCCACAAATGTTTTGTGTTATATCGTTTGTCAAGTATTGGTTTGTAGGGACTTGATTGATTGGTTTCAGGATTTCATCATGAACTGACATCAGTTAGAGAACCATTGGAAAACCTGGGAGTACTGGACAGCTGTTTCGTCCTAGTTTGGGACTCTTCATGGTACGCACCCATCGGGGTTCGAACCCAGGACCTTCTGGTTACAAGGCGAGCTAGTTCGTAGACCATTAGGCCACTAGGACCCGATCCAATGGTCAGTCCATGAATTCCAACTTCTGCAAATTCACGACATAGTGAGACCACTAGTCAATGTCTTCAGCGAGTATTTGTCCTCACACCCGACGTGCTGTACCTCACTGGTTACGACTACCCCCTAAACCCCCAGGTAACTACCTACCTAAATATCGTTTTTGTGGAAGTATTAAAAATACCCCTAAATCATTTTATGAGTTACTCAATTGTGGTTGGGAAATTTCAATATAGAATTATACATATGTATTTTGGTTAATTCAATGAATCACTATCAACCAGAGAAATTTGTAGGAAGTCGCCTCTTTCACTTATGTAGTCAACATTGTTCAACTACAAGTGGCATAGTTGAGTATGTCGGAGGCAGGATCAAAGAAAAACGAGACGTACCTTTGTTACTCCGAAATCAGTCTGAAAATCTAATACACTGGGCATAAAAAAAAACAAGAGTCTGGATTTGTCACCAAAAGCATTGTGAACTGGCTTCAAACTTTCATCAACAACTGCCTTCCCTCCATATTGAAGATCAGATGCCCAGATAGAATTAGCAAAAAGGAACCCCGACAACGAAACTGCTAAGAGCCTATAGCCCTAAAAATATACAGAAGGAAATAGAGGTGGAAGTCGTTGAGTGACATTTAGCGCCAGGTTTACCCTTGAGTGGAACCAAAATAGGAAAAGACGAGTTGGGCTGTGGTCCAAGGGTGACATGGAGGAGATCGTAGGAGGAGGATGTGAGAGCTTGTTGGCAACCGTAGAGCCAATTAAAGACGACTGTAGAAATCAGGATGAAATAGAAGTGTACTGTTGAGGCCCTGTGTTCCGTTTGGAACCCAAGGGAATAATAATACTGTTAATCCTAAGTCAATCTTCTGTAAAGTTACATGAACTGTTTACATCATTTTGTGGCATTAAGTGACACTCTAGTTTTGTTTGCAGGGTTACTCTTGAACGGTAAACATTACAGTTGTGGAGTGTTGATTATATCACTTTAACGGTTTGGGAGTTCGAAGATGATATGGAGAAAAATATCATGTTAAAGGAAATGAAGGCTTGTAGGCAGTCATGGAGCCAGCTGAGAATGATAACAGAGAACGCAGTGCAATATAAGTGTGCTGCTGAAGTGAAGTCCGAACACAGGGAATGATTAATGACAATAATTAAATCAAAATATAATAACTCAAACACCTTTGAACAAGAGGTTGCTCTCGTGGCCCTAGTGTTGTAGTGGATACTGCTCTGGGGGTTAAAAACGATGAGTAAAAACTTCGGGTCTCAGAATGAGAACACTATCACTCACTGGGAGATTGCAAGTGCATCCGGATGACGAGTCAAAAGTAGGATGAATCGCGTATCCCGGATTCCACTGCTAGGCATCATCATGTTTTTCCTCAAACATCGTTGAAGCGTGCTTATTAGGGGCTGATATTGGTGTACTAGAATCAGTCAACGGGAAATACAATACTAATTAAACCAAATCATAGTTGTGTAACCTTAAATTTCTTTTGCTAAACATAAGTCAGAGTCAAATATATTATTTGTGTACTAGTGCTTTTGTTTTGTATAGACAATCTTTCTGCATACGTTTTTGTTTTGTATTTCACAATGTTGTTTATTGCCTTTCTTTCTTTTTTCTATTTCTAGAATGTCTACATTCATAATTATTGTAACAAGTATGAAAATGTTAAGAAATGGATTTTGTTGTGCAAAACAAACTTATTTAAGTTTGTTTCTTACAGATTTATTGTTTTCTTACGATTTCTACAATATCAAAGAAGCATTCCCTATTAACTACTTCTTTGTATCAATTCTTGTCAGTAAAGTGAGTCAGTGCCTTAGTATTGTTTTCCTAAAAACAGTTATGTGTGTATATATGTTATGTCTTTTTGATATGATTGTGTTCTCTGAGATGGTTGATTTAATTGAGAAGCTTTCATTGTCCTTCTAGACAACATCTTCAGTGCAAGCTTTAATATGAAGGGAATTTAGTTGACCTCTCTATGAATAATATCTTTGCGAAGGTTGATTAGTCACTGGTATTCTTTCCCAATATCTCTCAACTTCATTTGCGGATCTTGTTAAAGTTTGTTCAACAAGTGTGTCAACTAAATCGGAAGACTGCAACCGAATAAAAGGACTTCGAACTGACCTTGTGTCAGCGACTTTAACCTCAACCGTTCACATTGATGGTTAATAATACCCAGCTGAGTATGAATATCATCATTTTCATGCAGCACCAGCTGCATACAGTGGCAAAGAATGCTGAACAACGATCTGTGGTCATCAAACTGCTGATGGAATGTTTGAATCATTTCGTGAAACGTTCTGTCACTGGGCTTTTGTGGGACAATCAGGTTTCAGTATTTGTCTAAATTAGCTGCACTCAATTTCTTTAGTAAGAGTCTAACATTCCAGACATCGTCTTTGCTCTCAAAATCCACTCTAAACAGGTCTTCGTATCTGCGGAACCATGTATCGAATGTAATGTTTGCGTCTGGGTTATAAATAAATTCCGGTATGTTGCTTCCAATATTGTCATTGGCTGCAGATGAATCAGTAGGGGATGATATCTGTAGACCAGTAAGCAACTCCATCACTTTTGGCTGCTGTTCCATCAATTTCTTCAAGCGTGAAAGGCGCGTCTTCACATTGATATGATCGTCAATACAACTTACTAGTTTACGTGTCTCTTACGCTAACGAACTTTCTAATCAGTAGGATTGTATCACTTCATGTTAAAACTTGCAATGAAGATGTTGTGTAGAAGGACAATGTGAAAGCTTATCAATTAAAACAACCATCTCAGACAACACAACCAGATCTAAATCATCCAACTGAGCTACAAATTTTCCCTATATGTTAGTTTCATAAGATTGGGCTTCTAGTTTGTACTAATTACAATAAATATTCCACCTCAACTCAATTGTTTTTAATTTGTCTAGACTGCTATAAGATGGTAGTAGGCCTGTTTTAGGTAGATTTAGTCGCTTCCTGCCTATATCATAAATTGATACTATTCGAACTTATCGGTCTACTATATTATCAATTCCTTGTTGTTAATCGATTATGAAATGCTCAAAATGTTACTCAATAGTTTTACATTTATTTTGATGTACTTGTTAATAAAGTTGCATCTGTCGTATGAGAGTTGATCACAGTACCTAGCTATCCAAACCTTAGTATGTTGAGCAGGGTTGGAATCTGTGAAAATCAAATACGTATACCAATGAACTGTGGTGCCACAGGTGTATTTTAGTTGTCAACTTGTACTATTAGTATTAATCTGTTAATTCTATAGCTGACGATGTTGAAATATTCTAACTGGCTGTTTTAGTTATGTTTAAGGAAAATCGTATCAATTGAGATCAGTGATGTTTTTTCAAAGGTCAGATCATGAATCTTAGGGATCTACTATCATTTAACCTGAAAGGAGTTTTCTTTAATGTCAACAATTGAGAGAATAGCGATCCTAGATTCTGGAAGACGTCAGTTACATGATTACCATGTGATGTATACTATTCATGTTATTATCCAATAAACAGATTAATATGTAATGTGAATCTTATTTTATTATTATTATTTTAAAAAAATCTAGTTTATTGAACTATTTCGAAAACTGCATTTCATCTACGTGTATTTGGCTCCATTCAATATAATTTGGGGTTCTGTGGCGCATGCAGTTGTTCAACTTGGCTCAATTCCTCGTATCCTTTTCAATTTTCACTGCTTAAATTTTCACTTATTAGGATGTGTTTAACATACAAATGTGTACAATACTTTAATTATTGTTATTACTTATGTTGAGATTCTATCGATCAAATGAGTAAGAGGAGAACACTAGACTGTAGTTCACACTACTTCGGTTTTAGACTGTTTTTTTTTTTACTAAACTTCTGCCCTTTTAAAGTTGCATATGTACTTATGAATAAGAGGTAGCACGGCTTGTGCATGTGCATAGAAGTTAACTTTTATTTACCAACGAGATTAGTGTTATGTTGGTTGGAATCCAGGTTGCGCAATTCGTCTATTTTGGGGCTTATGATCTGGATATACCTGCATTCCTAGTGAGTGACAGCGCTTTCACTGAAACGCAACCCCCTGCACCCATGATTTCAAACACCATCGCATTATCCACTAAGCCATTAGGGGCTAGAGAGCGGTACGTCTGGTACACTGTGGGTATCAGTTATTATTTGTTTCCAGGTTAATTTGCATTCCGTGTTGATTTAGTAATGTTTGACACAAGTGCTCAATCTGTGTAACAATGGGTCCAGAGTTCGAGTTTCAGTGGAATCATTGTTCACTGAGATTGAAGTCACACTCAGATGACAAGAGTTAAATGAGACGAGATACGCATCCTGGATTCCACTACTGGTTACCATCAAGGGAAATAACACCACTTCAATCCTCAAACATCGTTGGAGCGTCCATAATAGGAGCTGATATGTCAATCGAGACCTATCATTTAAGTCCAACATAAGCAATCAGTCGGATTAGTATTGTTAGTTAGGCGGAATACTTGAATTTTGTACAGTTTTATTTGGTGAAGAATGGATGTAAACTGAAGTCTTTTCAGAATATTTTTTAAAGGTATTTCAATTCTTATCTATACTACTTATCAATCACTAGAAATTTTCAAGTGGTCCTGGGTTCGAATCCCGGTGGGTGCGTACTGATGAAGAGTCCCAAACTAGGACGAAGTAGCTATCCAGTATTCCCAGGTTTTCCAGTGATTCTCTAACTGATGTCAGCTCATGATGAAATCCTCCATGCAATCAAACAAAATCCCTACAAAACCAATACTTGAAAATTAATCTGATGCTCACTAGCGACTGACTCTATTCAGGCAGTTAACCTGGGGTTCTAGTGGGAAGCCGTGACCAGTAGGATACAGCGGGTTGAAGATGAGGCAGTAACGCATCGAAGAAGACATTGCAAAATGGTCGTGCTATGTCGTGAATTGGCAGAAGTTAGAATTCTCGGACTGGCCATTGGATCGGGTCCCAGTGGCTAAATGGCGTACGAGCTTGCCTTGTAACCAGAAGGTCCTGGGTTCAAACCCCGGTGGGTGCGTACTGTAGAAAAGATCAAAACTAGGACGAAACAGCTTTCCAGTACTCCCAGGTATTCCAGTGGTTCTCTAACTGATGTCATCTCATAATGAAATCCTCCATGCACTAGAAATTTATTTGTGGATGTATCATGCTTTATTCATTTGCCACTTATACGTTTATTTTGTAACATCAACCTTAACTCACTTCATTACTACTTTTATGGAAATCATAAGACTCCGTATTTATGTTCGCCAATTGCATTTTCTCCACTGTATTATCTGCACCATTGGAACCGTTGATGGCTAGTGCAATTTTTATCACGTCGTATGTGAGACCGATTAGTTTTTGGGAGACAAATCATCGGTATGTATTCTTTTGTATCATATACTTGATTTCATATAGATGTGTGTATATTTGTTTTAAATGCTATTATTACTATTTCTTTATTTGCTTTCTTCAACTGTTTTTGGTTTGTCTCTTCTCCATACTGATACAAAATGTTACCACTTGCTTAGACCTATACACAATCTTGTCAATTTTTGAGTCTTCTTTTCTCTCTATAATTTTATATTTTAAGTTGTATTTGGTAAAGGGCATTTTTTTATCAACAAGTCAAGGTATTTATTTATTAAGGTACCTGAATGACCTTGACTTAAGTGGTTGGATCGTCACTTTGTTTTGAATATCTTAGATATTGAGCTCTCAGTATTCTTATTTGACTCTTGAGTTCCCTAGAAATTCCTCAAGAGTATATCCAATACCGGGTGTCCTTGTCTTTATATACTTGATGAAGCAGACGCATTTTGTTTTTTTCCCCCAGGTTCACTTAAATGAAGTCTGCAGTCCCCTTTAGCTGGCCACACGGTCGCGCATAGTATGTCATCTCCTCCTTATACGATCTCTTCCATGTCACTTCCGGACACTAAACTCTTCGTTTCTCACTCGAGTTCCACTTGAGGGCTTGATGTTAAATGTTACATAATGGCCTCCTCAGTGTGTGTCCAATCCATCTCCGTTTTCTTCTACACACTTGTTGAGCGAAAGGTTGTTGCTTGGTTCGCCGCCAGACTTCCGTTCAGCTTATCCCTTCTGACTATCTGATCTTCAGTAAAGAGTCGGCGAAGGGAGTTATTGATAAAGATTTGCAGCTTGTTGGATATTCATCACTAGATAAAGAATGTTTTTTCGCCTAACTGTTTATTCACTTTTTTCTGATTATCAACACTGAAGTAAAAATAGCATGAAAATTTCTTTTTGTATTTCTCACCGTACTACTTTTTAAGCGCATAAGTAGTAGTATAAGTATAAAATCCTTATGTTTCTCATCTTCTTACCTGGTTGTTTTTTTTGCTTTGTTTCATTATCTTTAAAAATAATATATTTCTATTTGAAGTAAATGTTGATTTATTATTTTAAGTGTAATTTATAAATAATTAAACGAGAGATGAATACATAGATACCATAATGAAGATGCTAGTGATGATGCCGTTACCATGGTAACTTATATCTACTCTATCTTCACAGTGAATAAAAAAAGTGAAGAGTGAAACTATCTGAGTGAATAAAAAAAATCCTCATTATTATCTCTATTATGTCATTCAATTCATCTTCTTATTTTTTTCTCCTTTTCCCATTTGGTAATATATATACGTGTTTCTATGGTACAGCGTGTTTCTGTTTTCTGCGTAGAAATTAGTTAGTTTTTTAGCTGAGAAACGATACGCATCTGTTTAATATTAAAGGTATATCACATTACTGCTTGTAATATGTCTATTTTTAACATGAACTTGCTTCATAGTCTCCATGCTTATATAATAATATCTACTTTATTCTTGAAGTTATGTTTTAAAACTCAACAGGCAGAATTCTCAACATAATTTCTTGCAAACTATTTACTTTTCTATAGTTTGGTTTGTAAGGGTTAGTTATGTTTTTACGCGTTGGTCACGGATTGATATTAGTTAGAGAACCATTGAAAACCAGCAACGAGTACTGTAAAGCTGTTTCATCCTAGTTTGGGAATCATTGGCAGTACGCACCCACTGGGATTCGAACCCAGGACCTTCCGGTTACAAGGCCAGCTAGTTCGTATACCATTCAGCCACTGGGACCTGATTCAATGGCTCATGAATTCTAAATTCTTGGTAGAAGGTAGAATTCATGAGCCATTGACCAAGTGGGTGCGTGCTGCCGATGATTCCCAAACTAGGATGAAACAGCCTTACAGTACTCGTTGCTGGTTTTCAATGGTTCTCTAACTGATATCAATCCGTGATCAACTCGTAAAAACAAAACTATTTACTCCTAGTATAGAGTCGTTACGTTAATATTCATCTACGGTATGTCGTAAGCTGCAATATCATTCTTTATGAAACAAAATACTTAATCCTCCACTACATTTTCCCTTCACATGTTTGCTTCTTGAAGTGCACACTGGTGGGTTGAAGGTCAATTAAAAATTTGTGTGAGTTCATATTGCAAATCGAAGATATAATTATGAAAGATTAAGTCAACAAGAAAAGGAGAAATACGAATGTATTTTCCTGCTGATTAGAATAAAGCGAATAGAATACAAATATACTGGTTATCGTTTTTTAAGTAATGTGACAATTTTAACCTCTTATAGGAATTCTTATGGTCTAATTCACCTGTTACTTTTGACTTTATCATATCAAGTACTGACTGGTCCGCCAAGGGAGAGACCTCTTGAGTGGTTGGGCCACAGGATGACACTGCATGCCTGTTTCGTCTCGCAGTAGGCAGGGATAAGTGTGTTTGGTTCTCCTGAAAACCAGTACCCAGTCAATGGGTATATCATTATATGAATTCTGCATCGGTGACACAACGGTAGAATGCTCGCTAGTCACGCAGGTGGTTCGGGGTTCGATCTCCGGCCGACGCACTCCCTTACCTCGCTAAACCAGTAGTAAGACTGGTAAAGAGGGAAGGTTGGGACATGAGGCTAGCAACCCCATCCCCTAAAAATAAACACCATTGCTACCGAAACTTTAAGCCTCTAGCTTGAAGCCATATGTTCCATTGGGAACGTAAAGGAATAAAATAATATCAAGTACATGTATTGCATAGGCTAATTTTATATACTATCTGGATTCGAAATATCAAACAAAGACATTTGATTAGCCTTCACTTAAGTCTTTATCATGATTGTGAATGTGTTGTAGGATATGTAATTTCTTAATGCTTAACTTTTTTGATATACACTTTATTCTTACATTGTGTGTGTGTGTGTACTTTTCATATCCTTCTCTAGCACTTGTCAAAATAAGCCTTACTGTTTGCAATGCTCTCAAGAAGATTATTAACTAATCATGGGTTTCGACCTATGTATTCTTTAAAAATGACCCCCCCTCCCACAGTATTGTTTTATTTCCACCTAAACATCATTTCTTTCAAGTTGTATTTTCTTTTCTCTGCATCTCATTTTCCCTTTCCAATGTCTTTTGTCATCATGGTAATTATTTTAGAATTAACTTTTATACCTGTCCCTTGTATTGGTTGGTTAAGTCATAAAATTAGTCACTTATTTAGCTTCTGTACAAATTACTTTGCGTAATTATAAAATAGTTTCATTATTAACAATTATATGATTTAACTGAACGGAAAAAGTACACACCTTTTTATTCTAATGTCATCCATATATATACTTTCATTACGGATAAAGTTTTATTTTGATAAAATCGCACAGGGCTATACAGCAATATTTACTGATGACCACGTTTCGAGCGCAATTTATTACTGCTCATAATCATATCAAGGAATTACTCACACCAATTTCTGATTTCTTTAATATGCATCAGTAAAAAATTGATTAGACATATGAATGATCAGGCTTTGTAGACTATAGGACCCTATCGACCCAATTAAACAAAATAATATAATATACAAAATACCATACTATGATTGTGAGATTAACTACAAAGGTTAAACTAGAAGATCAGGAGTAGTGAGACCATCAGAACATAAGAATTTAGCTAAAATTAGAACGATTGATCCCAAGAGGTATGTAATATAGAAGAAAACTCAGCAAGCACACTGCATGCATTAACACACAACCATACAAAATGGTGTATGGGACGGAGTCAAAATTCTAAGAAGTAATATAGGGAGGGGGAGAGAGAGATTCATTACTGAATCCTGGTTCATCGAATAGTCTACACCCAACACGTGCAACAGGAATGACTCAATGCAAAAACCAGAGATATGGAAGATATTATTACCACCAGTCAAATCAGAGGATAATAAATATTGTTAAAATGTATTTCAATTCAAATTATAACATTCTAACAAGTTACTTATTTTTACTGTGAAACACATCTTATTTCCCATCTTATTGAATAAAAACGCTGGTCTTAATTCCTATCCTATTGTATTTTATTGATAACACTAATATTATTTCCCAATGTACTTTATCTTATATTAATTCCCATTCGAATGTCTAATCAACTCTTACTCATGTATATAAATGAAACCAGAAAGTTGTATGAGTGAGTGAGCACCTTGATATGATTATGAACAGTAATAAATTGTGGTCAGAATGTGGTCATCAGTTAATATAACTGTATGACACTGTATGATTTTATCAAAATAAAATTTTATCCATAATTGAGTTATGCTCTACAAGTGTCCAAGTTTTATCCTTATATACAAATATATATATATATATAATTTGAACATGGTATTTAGATCTCACATATGGGATACATGCAGTGAAAGGGTTTCATTTCGTAAGGGATGCTGTGGTTCATTGATATAGGCACTGATTTTCAACCAATGATTAGGTCCCGGTTGTGAACCCGGCTCTACTTGTTCAGGGTTGAGCAGCCAGATTGTATCTATACTCACCACACAATAGATGTAGATCATGGGCAGCTGTATGGAATTGCAAGTGGTTTTTGAGGAGTATTATTTCGTTCACTTCATATCATAGCTTCTTTTTACTTATTTTGTGCTTTTAAATATTGTTTAGTCAGATGAGTAAGTATCGTAGTGTATAAACGTCAATATGCGGTTAGTTGAGTAGGAGAGCTATTGCAGTCATATATTCTATTTTAAAGGAGACTAAACATCACAAGATAGTAATCTTAACTGTCTCATATTATATCTACATATTCGGAATCATGACTTCTCTGTAAAAGTACAGGCAACTTCATCCTGTAGTCAGTCGCTACGGAGCATCGGGCTGGTTTTCCGTTGTTGGGATGCAGGGACATAATTAGTATTTAAGTTAGACCATGAGTCGACATTACTTAGAGATCCTCTGAAAACCGGGGAATACTTAACAAGTGTTTCATCATAATTTGGGAGTCTTCATCAGTACTCACCCATTCTAACTTCTAATTTAACCTTGTCCATTGACTAACCAATTAGTACGTGGAAATTAAAATGTTAAGTTGTTGAGTATTTGTTTTCGCTTGAATGTTATTTTTTCCACTTAAAACTGCATATTGTTATTTGATTGAGATTGTCAAATTCGCATAGAATAAGGAACGTGTAGAAATATACCACCACTATTTTCCACTGCTTGTAATTTTACTTATGTACAGTCTCTTTAGACACATACTTATATGCTTTTTCCCTGTGTAAACATTATTAGTTGAGCATTGAGAATGTTTACACTTACGTATGACAGGTGTTACGAAGATGGGGAGCATATACTAACCTGGGAAGGAATTTTATGACCAAGATTTATGTGTAGTTTTCTTCATTGGAATGTTTAATATTGATTAAGTAAAATGTTGAATTGCTTAGTGTCACACAAACTCAGCTATGTTTAAGCGAAAACCAACAGGTGGGGAAAAGAAGCATCAAAAACAGTCAGCAACAACAAACACCAATCTCCAAGAACGGGAGAAAACTAAAAGAAGTCGCATCCTTCACTTAATCTGAGCAGCATCGTTTTAAGTACAGGGGACACAGATGTGGATCTCAAAGGCGACCAGGATCGGAAAAGCAAGGAGGACCTTCATTACTGTGAAATCTGCTGAACTAGACATGAAGAACAGGACTCGGATTTTCAACACCAATGTCAAGTCTGTGCTTCTATATTGTTCAGGGACTTGTCGCTCGCCCTACGATAAGCATTTCCAACGCACTTATCAACAGCTGCCTGCTCTCAATACTGATGATTAGATGATCAACCAGAACGGATTAGCAACAAGGAACTCTGACGACGATTCAACTTTGAACTCAATGTCTAACAAATACGCCAAAGAAATTGGAGATGGTTCGGATGCTCACTGAGGAGACACTTGAGTGACATCACGCGCCAGGCTCTCGAGTGGAAGTGATTGGGAAACGACGAGTCGGGCTGGGGTCTGAGGATGACATGGAAGAGGTCGCGTTGAGGAGGAGATAAGAGCCTATAAGCATTCGTAGTACCAGCTAAAGAGGACTGCAGACAACAGAGTGAAATGGCGATGTGCTGTTGAGGCCTTGCGTTTTACTCGTAACCCAGAGAAACAATAATAAAATCGTTGAGAGTTTAGGTATGTGTATCTTCACACGTATAAGTTAACGAATTAAATTGTTCTTCTATGCGTTTTGTTCGAAGCCGTAACTACTTTTTGATTTTGTGTAGAATGCACACGGTTATCAACTGACAGAGATTCTGTATGTTTTGTTTTGTAGTATCCATTTATTTTTAGTACTTCAAACTATGCAAATGGAATCTATCTAACTCATATATTTCAACTATTTGAATGTACTTATGACAGCTACTTTCTTGTTTGATTTATTGTTTTTGGTATTTGCATTCAACTGATTAGAAAACAGAGTTTCACAATTTCAAATAAATTTGTTTTACTGGGAGTTGTTAGTACTTGCAACTTTTGGGTAGGTAGTCTAGCAGTTACAGACAGAGGAATCTGCTTAATATTTGCTTTAGAATTTTTAAGTCTATTGTAGAATTGAACTTCATTCCAATTTTCTATTCTTTTGTTAATTTACTTTAGTACACAACGTATAGAGACAACTAATATGCCGATAGCAGCACAATTAAAAGGCATATCAAAGCATCAAGTATCCGGTAATCTAGACGGTATATTCTATGAGCATTTAACACGGAAACTACAAAGAATATTAGCCGGTGATTTACAATTAGGACGTCTTGGTGGATTATCCATAAATCATGGTGATGTATTCATTCTTTCAACGGATGACTTAAATTTACTTATTCATATTATTGAAGTTGGAAATGGATTTGTCACTTATCAACTACGTGGTCTTGAATTTATCGGTAAATATTGATTTTTTTATACTAAAATTTGTTATTATTTATGTTTATTATTATAATTATGTGCAGTTAAAATAGTCGAAGATGTGGTTCATTAGTGTAAGAACTTGACTTTAAGCCAATAGGTTCCGAAGTTCGAAACTCACTCTACTTACTTTGGCCTGGTTAAGTGGATGGTGTGATCAACCTTCATAGAATACGTGTGGGGCATAGCCTAGTACCGGGTAACTGAGTAATAGCCCACCAGAGTTAGAATGGAGTAGTGGATTATCGGTATTCTTATTCCTTTTGGTTACCAGTGAAACTTAGGCCTTCAAAAGCACATCTTCACTTCATCCTGTTGTTTGCAGTGGTCTTTAGCTGGCCGCATGATTGTCCATGAGCTTTCACTTCCTCTTTATCACCCTCGAACCTCAGCCCAATTCTCTTTCTCATTCGAGTTCTACTCGAAGGCTTGGCGTGTGTTCGATCCACCTCCCTTCCCTTTCGGATATTTGTTGGGCAATAAGTTCTTGGTTAGTTCGTTGCCTGAGTGAGTTTCTTATTTCTAATCCTTTCTGGCCATCTTAGATTCAGTATGCAGCCGAAGGAAGCTGTTAGTAAAAGTCCTCAGCCTGTTAGAAATGCTTCTGGCGAAGTGCCAAGTGTCTCAACCATATACAATTGTTTTCTACATACTGTTATTGAATTCGGCCACTTAATTTTGTTTTACTTAATCAACTATTTTAATTAGTCACTTTTCTTGAACAACTTTTGTAAGTACTTTGTAATCCTTGTCATGTCATAAGTAAAATTCATGTGATACTCATTATATTCAACATTGCATTGGTAACCATTGATTACTAGTCATCTAAACGTATTTTTACAATACTTATTCTAAACACAGGAAGGCTAACGAAATGAAATAAGGTTTTGCTTTAATTGTTGGTTGTGTTATTAAAGAAAAGTCGAAAAGGATACACTTTGTTCAATGAACTTCTGCATTGTTTGTGCTGTTCGCCTGTCAGTCGTATTACAAAGCTTGTTAACACCTTCAGGGAGTTGTGAAGGTGCTACTAATATTTTATCCGTAGTTTTTAATTTGATGGCTCGCATGAGTAATAATAATAATAGCTTTACTATGCACAACACGTTAACACAATATGCACATTTTCCAGCGAAGTTTATTGCATAGTACTTATTCTTTATCCGAGAGTTTCAAATAAAACAATCATCCCCAATGCATCATGAACGCAGTGATGTTTTATGTGAAGAATAAAGTTAATCCCCTACGGTATTTTTCTTTGGTTCCACAGAAATGCTTAACGATAGGCTGCACACCAATTAAAAATGTGCACGAGTACATTTGGAGACCCATGGATATATCTGAATGATTATAACACCAAGAACTAAGGAAAATAAGATGTATTTTCTCGGATGGAAATTTAGGTAGCCCAAAGATTCAAGCGGGCTACCATGAAGAATTTTTCTTGTCTTCTATTTTTCATATTATTCTATCATATGGCCGTTTTTATGTTGCATATATCGCGGGATTTTTCTTTCTTTTGACTTAATGACTGAATGGTGGAGATTAAAATTACTCTGTTCTATATTAATTGAGTGCCGTCGCTGGTTCAACGGTAGAGTGCTGGCCGACTATGCACGTGGTCCGGGATTCGAGTCTTGGCTGGCGTACACCTTTACTTTCCTTAGCCGGTTATAATCCCGACAAAGAGAGGAGTTTAGGCGTGAGGCTGGCAACCCCACCCCGTATAAATGACACCACTGTTACTGCAACTTCAGAGCTCTAGCTTGGAGCAGTATGTTCCACACAGAACGTAAAGGAGTAAAATATTAATTGAAATTGAAATCCCTATCTTAATTGGTATAGGTAGTGTTGTGGAAATTTCAACTAATTTAAAGACAGGCTTTTTCTCAAATTGAGCATCTGCTGTAAAACCATTGAAAATCGATACCTCAGGAATTCTGTTCAATGCTGACCTATAAAATAGATGTATCACCATCAAATATCACTGATGAATAGCTGATATTACTATGGACTATGTAGAACCTACGAGTTTTGACTTCTCATTTGAATTCCAGTACGTTTATTTCAAGGCTTCATTCGCTCCATACTGAGGATCCAGATGACCAGCCAGAAAGGATAAGCTTTGAAAAACTCTGGCAGGTAACTAACCAACCAGGAACCTATTGCCCAAAATATTTTCGGAAGGAAATGGGGGTGGATTAGGCATACGCTGAGGATACTGTTTAGTGACATCACACACCAGGTCGTAGAGTAAAACCCGAATGGGAAGCGGCGAGTTGAAAGTGGGTCCGAGAGTGATATGCGAGAGATCGTGTAAGAATGAGGGGATGAGAGCTTATGAACAATCATAGAGATAGCTGAAGAGAACTGCTTAGAAAAGAGGGTGTTGTGCTGCTGAAGCTCTTTATTCCACTTGGAACTCAATGGAATAATAATCATATACTTTCGAAATCAGTGATTAGTGAACAGTGCATACATATAAATAGTGGGGACTGTCTACTAATAAAAATCGATATGATTTATTTGGTAAAGAGGATTATAGAATGATTGGAATTCTTATTGATTTTTTAAGTGTCGTAGGATATTGTTTACCTTAAGGAGATGCTTTTTTACCCTTTGGGTTAAATATCATTATTCCCGATTTTATTTTAATTCAACTCGGGAGACTTTTTTCACTTATTCCGGTTTAGTTATGAAAAACATGTTGAAAGGGAAGTTATTTGCCTATCGATTGAATTATATATCGATAATTTCCTCATTTTTGTAAATATTCATTTAATTCTAGTGTGGGTTGGATTTATTAATAATAATAATAATCACAATATATATATATATATTCGCTGTGTAATTCACATTTTATGTTCTCATTTATTTACTCTCAGGAACTTTATGTCATGCTAGTGAATCAGAAACTCTACGCTCTGATCCGCATAAAAATAAACGTTTCTGTTGTTGTCATTCGAAACCGCCTCGTGGGATATTGAGTTTTAATGCTGCTGTCCGCTTACGTTGTATGGCTTGGCAGTTCGCGTATTCTCCCTACATTATTGAAGGATATGAAGTTACTGATCATAGTGCTGGATTTACTTTCCAATTGACAGATCTGAGGAAAGTGCTGATCAGTCGCTTTGTTCACGTAAGTTGTGAAATAGAATGTAGTATTATTATAAGTAAGGTTATTTGGAAGAGAAGCGTTAGTGGAGCGGGATTGTGAAGTGGTCACAGCATTCATACTACTGGCGTCTTGGTATTGATTTCCGGTGAGGCGAAACTGTCGGTTTCTTGAGTCAGAATATGACAGCTAAAAGACCTGTAGCCCACTGCTGACAGAATGTCCGTTTGCTAAGCTGGGTTTCACTTACTCACATTGCACCATGTCTTTTTCTTGTTTCAACTCCATTCATCATCCTCATAGGTTCAAGTTTACATTTTATTGATACTTGTGCGATGCCACGATTTGTTGGGATTCCTTTATTAATCTTTGCCAAATATTCACAGTCAGTTATTTGGCGTATCAAAATAAGTGACTGTATTATTGAGCTAGTGTAAATTAAAGTACGGAAAGTGTCGGATTACGGGTTATTCTTTAAGCCAGTGGTTAGGACTCTCGTCGACCATGCACATAGTCCGGGGTTCGATCCCCGCCCGACGCACACCCGATATCAGTGGTCGGTCTGCAAAATTTGGGCTCCCGATATCACATGCTGAAAATTCCATACTTGTATCAAAAATACGGTGTGGAATCAAGCTATAATCAAAATCAAAATAAAATAAAATATTTTCGCGGTTTAGTGAAGTAAAAGGTACAAAAGGATAGTTCCGAGTCAGTTAAGGTGTTTCATTGCATTCACTATCGTTTGTACTTTCGTCCTTTTTGACTCAGTTATATTATTGATGATTGATGTGTATGTACTGCAAATTGATGTAATTAGTTGGAAACTGTTTACATAATCTGATGTCCCTCAATGTAAGAAGATGTAATTTTCTATTAAACTTTATATCATTTTCAAGTATTGGTTTTTTAGGGAATTTTCTTTGATTGGTTGGAGGATTTCATCATGAGCTGACATCAGTTAGAGAACCATTAGAAAACCCGGGAATAGTGGACAGCTGTTTCGTCAGCCTAGTCTGGGACTCTTCAGCAGTATACATTTATCTTCATTTATAGATAAAATAAAACTATTGATTAGTAATTCCCATTACTTATATGTTTACGTTTGTTTCAAAATCGTTTTCCCTTCCACAGTGTGTTATTTACTTTGTCTGTAAACTACCCAATCTGTCTAATCGTTTGACACAATTATCTCCATGCCTTGAGGCAAACAGATTTTCATCACCAGATTATTTTGATTTGGATCCAGTATTTTTTAAAATGATCGATGATGATTTTGATGAAGATGTGAATGGTGTTACTAGGCAACGTTTTGTTCATATCTATTCTGATTGGATTGCATACTGCTTAAAGAAGAATAGTGAAAATTCAGTAAGTAAAATCAATATTATCGTAATTATTATTGAGCATTCGTGTTTGTGATTGTATACATTGTTAATGTTGTATTGCTCTACATAAAACCTTCCTTGATGTATTGATATTTCACTTTTTTTATCAGCCAGTTGTCACCAGTCTTCTATATAGTACTGAACGTTAATTGCGAATTTGATTTAAGGTATTATCTGTCCGCTCAGGCAGCTAGTCAGAAGTTAGGTGGTTTGAATTGATTCGGCTCTCTGAGCTAAGTCAAACTGGTTAGAGAACGCTAATGAGCTTGGCTTCAAACCAGGGAAACGACTGTCAATCAATAGTATTATAGCATCACGCATTTACGCTTGCTTTCGTGATTTCCATTTATGGTATCAAGCAGATCAAATATTTTGATCTGAATAATTTCTGTTTCTAAGGGAATCTGTGGTGAAATCCTGTAGACTGCGAATTTGATTAGCGTTACCAATATGCCCTTGTAACTTTTGGTTTTGCCCCAGGTTTACTCTAGCTAGTGAGATTCAGACAGTCAAGATGCTTGGCTCAAACAGCATGCACAAAATTACCACCAAATACGCTTCATGTCATGTTTAGTATGTAACGGGTGAAGTAGTAAAACAATGAGAACAGTGTGCATGTTTCTTTAAATTGATTAGCGTTTCTTTATGGTACAAAATCTTATCATTCGACTCCGCGTATTATTTTGCAATGGTATATGTTTAAACGGTTGGTTCGTAACAGTTAGAGCAAATTTTATAAAATATCTGCAATAATTTTATATCCAACCTTGTCTTTACTTACTACTTCGTGTTGCCACGGGATACAAATATTACTCATACTTCATTCATGGATAGTGCATAGCTTTGAGTGAATAAGTTTCAAACATGTAGGGTAAAAATCCGACATGTTACTCTAAATGTTTACATTGGGAGTTGAATGCAAATGGATTTTTGTTAATCTTGCAAGTGTGTTTCCCCTTCCTGTGAGCATTTACATAATTTGCATTGATTTATACTACCGTACAGTCACGTTAAAGATTCACTGTCATGATAACACATTAACAATAATTCAGTCATCTCGGAAAGTCTAACGAAGAATCGTGGGATCAGCTAAGTAGACCGAATCCTACTGAAATTATAGCCACAGGATTTCTGATTATATGCTGTCATTTTACCTGGAGTGTTTGTGTTTAGAGTATATTAGAGGAAAGTGATATTAATTTTGGCCGATTGAAATATATTTCAAAGTTTCTCCTACCCATGTAGAGACGTTATGCTTTTTTACTAGCTGACATCAGCTGGAGAACCATTGGGAAACCAGGTAGTATTGGACAGATGTTTCATTCTTGATATAAAGATAGAACTTGGGCACTGTAGTAGAGTATAACTCCATTATGGATAAAATTTTATCTTGATAAAACCACATATTGTTGTACATTATTATTTACTGATGACCAAGTTTCGAGCACAACTTACTACTGCTCACAATCACACCAAGTCATTCACACAACTTTCTTGCTTCATTTATATATATGAGTAAAAATTAATTAGACATTTGAGTAAAATCAAACTTACAAACTCACTCAGAGACAGGCTCTGTAGGCTAAAGGATCTCGTGGACCCAATTAAACAAAATATTATAATTTACAAAATACCTTGCAATGACTGCGACTTAAGTCAACTACATAGGTCAAACTACTAGATGAGGAGTAGTGAGATTATCAGAACATAAGAATTTAGCTGAAATTAGAATGATTTATCCCACATAGATAAGTAATTTAGAAAAAAACTCAGCAATGCATTGCACTCCATGCATTAACAGACAACCACACAGAGTTAAAACTCTAAGTAGTAATACTGGTAGATGGAGAGAGAGATTGATTGCTGAGTCCTTGTTCATCGAATAATCTACGCTGAACACATGCGATAGAAGTGACTCAACGCAAATACCAGAGATATGGAAGATATTATTACCACCAGTCAAATCAGAGGAGGATAATAAATAATCTTAAAATTCTATTTCAATTCACATTATAACACTAACAAGTTATTTATTTTTTACTACAAAAACATCTTATTTCCCGTCTTAATGTATTATATTGATAACATTAATATTATTTCCCAGTGTACCCTATCTTATATTGATTCTTATTCAAATATCTAATGAATTTTTCTTAATGTGTATAAATGAAGCAAGAAAGTTATGTGAGTGATTGCGAACCTTGATATGATTATGAGCAGTAATAAATCGTTCTCAAGACGTGGTCATCAGTAAATATTACTGTATAACACTGTGTGATTTATCAAAATAAAATTTTATGCACAATGAAGTTATGTTTCATTCTGGTTTGAAATTTTTTAGCAGTACTCACCTCCCCCCCCCCAAAGTTTCCAAACTAGGACCTTTCGGTTAAAAGGCGAGCTGGTAGATTATTCAGCTACGGGGGCCAGATCGAATGGCCTATGAATTTCAGCTTCTGCCAGTTCGTGATGTATGGCTCCACCGCTGTCCCATGTCATCCACTCGTGATCAAAACTTTAGACAATCTAGTATCTGCAAACGAACACTTGAAAACAACGTATTTTTGTTGATAATTTTAATACAGCTTAAGTTACGCGGTTCATCTCTCCGTTTGCATTCTTTACACTCATATTGACATGATTACAAAATTATTTGTTTTTTAGTCTGTACCATGTGGTCCGGATTCTCCAGTTGTATCGTTATGCTTAGCATTAAGCCTTTTGGGTAGACGATGTATGGGAGGTCATCAATCCTCAAAACATATGTAAGTATTATGTTAAACACTTACATTTATATATATGATGTATATAAAAATACACTTTTCTAATTACACAGTTTAATCGACAAGTAGGCTGATAGGCTAACACAGAACTCACTGATAGCAAGTATGGTTCACCATAACTCCTACAGAAAGATAATCAACAGGAAAGGAGATGAAGATATCACCAAGTAAAAATATTGTAATGTCTTCATTCATGTATGTGTGTGAATGTTTTCATTCTGTCGGTATCCATAATTTTTGGGTACTTTATTACTTCTCTGAGTTTTCATATAACCTTTAAAAAACAACTTCTCAAGAGTGAATTTGTTTTCGTTTTAAACACATAGATTATTTCAAGTCATTCTGGATATTTAAGTTATATGATTTGTATCGATTTGAATTAATTTCAATTGTTGGATTTCGTCAAGAACCAACATCAGCTAGAGACCCCTAAAAACTAGGGAACACTGGACAGCTACTTCTTCTTTGCTTGGCACTCATTAGCATTGCGCACCCGTGAACGCCAGATAAAAAAACCAGTCAACAGGCTTAAAACACATGTGTCATTGGATTCCGGTCTAAGTGACCTAGTCTCGTAACCTAAAAGTCCCAAATTGGATCCTTGGTTGGGTCGTGGTTAGGCACTGTGAAGAGTTCCATACTATGATGGAACAGCTGTTCAGTGTTCCCTGGTTTTCACTGACCTCTAACTGACATTATAGATATGGTAAATTTCCAGGGATTTTGTTTAATTGGTTACAGGATTTCATCATAAGCTGACATCATTTAGAGAACCATTGGAATACCTGGAAGTACTGGATAACTGTTTCGTCTTAGTTTGGAACTCCTGAACAGTATGAATCCACAGTAGTGCGTTTGAACCCAGGACCTTCGGTTACTAGGCGACCGAACTCGTAGACCATTAAGCCACTGGCACCGGATCCAATTACCCATGAGTTCTAACTTCTGCCAATTCACGACATAGTGCAACCTTTTCGCAGTGTTCTTCTTCGATGAGTTACTGCCTCATCTTCAACCGGTGGGTGATTACTGATGAAGAGTCCCAAACCAGGGCGAAGCCGTTGCCCAGTACTCCCATGTTTCCCTGTGGTTCTCTAACTGATTTAAGCTCATGATGAAATCCTCCAACTTATCTGTCTTTATTTTGAGTTTCATGAGAATTCAAAAAAAGTATTGTTCAATGCGAATTCGACAACTAATACAATGGCCTTGAGTTTTATCGTCACTGGCCACTTGTTTTTCAATAAGCAGGTGTTAGCAATTCTGCCTTAGTCACGAGTTTTGTTTAAATAATACGTTTTGATGTTTATTCACGTTAAACGTGTAAAGATATTGTTATTATTCTGTTTGTTAGTTGTTTAGATGCCATAAACAGTTCTTAATTCGTATATTTTATTCATATCGCTTTACATCAACAATAAATAACTTGGTGTTTCTGTAAACATGTACACATAAAAAATGCGGGTTATATATAATTCAGTGTATAAATCTGCATGACTTTGTTTTAGTACAGTGTCAATTTCTCAGTAACTGAGACGATGTACGCATATTCAAACCTTTAAGTTGAATTCAGTAAATTCTACTTTAGTTCAGTATATATTGTTGAACAGTTGGTGTAGTAGTTTTTTTTCTTCAAAAATCATATTATTATCTTAAGAGAGAAGCTTAAATTCTACTGATCGCATTGATTTAAAGTACATCATTATGTAAATGGTTTAATTTGATGCCCAAAACTAATAACCCCAATAGGTTCATAAGTCAGGACATCCTGTTAGACCAATAGTTGATTTTAGAAATCCACCTACTTATGAATTGTTTAAATATATTTAGCTATGGTAATAAATCCACTTAGATGCCACTTAAAATCTAGACTAACAAATTCTTATAGACTAAAACATAGATTAGCTAATTTTAAATTAGACAGTGAATAAAAAATGGTTAGTGTCGACATCGTTAGTTTATCTACACAAATATTGATAAATATGGCTATAGAAGCGATCAGGAAAAAACTCATTCCTGACCAAGAACTTGAACTTAGAACAAAAGTGCCACTAGAAAACGTACTCCTGGGAGTGCAAATATGCCTGTCTTGTCGAATATTTAAATTCCAAGGGGAAGTATACAAAGAAAACTGAGAGAGTTGCTATCGGGTCACCAATATCATTGATAGTAGCAGATATATTGATGGACAGGTGGAGGAACTTAGTGGTTGAAACGTTCAACTCCACTCTGAAAGTATGGTGGAGGTGGTATATAGATGATCCATTCACTGTACTTAAAACGCAGGACATAAACAGATTTTTGGAATACATAGACTCCTAAGTAGACGTAATTCATTTTACTTATAAATTAGAAAGTCAGGAAGGGGTTTTTAATGGCTTGATGGTATACGAGCTGGCCTTGTAACCAGAAGGTCCTGGGTTCAAATCCCAGTGGGTGCGTACTGATGAAGAGTCCAAACTAAGACGAAACAGCTGTCCAGTACTCCTAGATTTCCAATGGTTCTCTAACTAATGTCAGCTCATGATGAAAATCCTGTAAAAAATAGGATTGTTGAAATTTTTAGGTAATGCGACCAAAAACTGAATAGTAAGGCATATAAGAGAAGTTTTAAAACTTAACAATTACCCTGATAAATTAATCAGGAAGTATTCAGGAAAATGCAAAAATGCAATTCAAAATAATAATGGTAATAATAATAATTATTATCATAATGACCACATGTATGATAAACCTGCACAGAATGATGACAACAACAGCAACAAGGAGTTTGAATTATCATTACTACTTCCATACAAAGAAGGGACCAGTGAAGCTTTACGTAAATTTCTTGACAATTCAGGAATAAAAGTGGTATTCAAGGCTGCAAACTTAATTAGAAACAACTTTTGTCGTGTAAAGGATCCTGTGGACCCAGTTAAACAAAACAATTTAGTCTATCTAATACCCTGGAATGATCGTCAGGTCAAATATATGGGTCAAAATAGTGGAACAGGGTCAATCAAACTAACGGCGTATTAAAACCACCTAGCAAAATCTAGATTATAACTCCATTATGGATGAGATTGCTCATGAGCGATAATTTGTGCTCGAAACGTGGTCATCAGTAAATATTACTGTACAACACTGTGTGATATATCAAAATAAAATCTCATCTATAATAGAGTTATACTCTATCACAGTGCTTAAGTTTTAGATTTATGTTAAAAATCTGGATTAGTTGACCCTGATGAGATAAGAAATCTGAAGATTAGCTCAGCTGTACCACTCACTGCATGCAGTTACACACAACCACACAATAGGATTGGATAAGATGATAGTTTTTAAATTTAATGTCACAGGGTGGAGGGAGAGATTGATAACGGAAGCTTTGTTTATCGAATCAACTGCAAACACGTGTGGTAGGAATGATTCAACACCTGTCCCAGACAGGAATCTGGAAAATTCTACTACCCCAACGATGACAAATATGAGAGAACAAAAAGAACTATAAAACTCAAGTTTCGAAGTCGTGTGATTATAATTGATGAAATGATTATGAACAATAAATTTTGTTCGAAACTGTGTCATCCAGTAAATAATACTGTTTCACTGACTGTGTGATATATCTATCTAATAAATAAATAAATATGGAATTAAACACTCCCACAATACCAAAGTTTTTCAGATTTATTAGCATCATTGTCTCACTTCAGTTTTTTTCTTAATTTTCTTGTACTTGTTTCTATTTATAACTATTCGTCTGCTTTAGACTCGATCAATTTTTACATGGAGTTCATCAAGTATTCTCTGGAGATATTAATTTAGCCCCAAGAGATGATTGGGTTCTAACTGATCTAGATCTTCTTCAAACTGTTGTTACTCCAAGTGTACGTATTGCATTAAAACTCTATCAAGTAAGTTTGTCTTTTTATTGGTGGTCTTTCCCCTACTTGTCGTCATTATATTTTAGTGAGGAGTGTGTGTATGTGTGTCGTGGTTATTGTTGAATTTTTTTATAAATAAAAAATGTTGCTACTGATGCTTGATGTTTGATTTCAACCGGTATGATACCCTAGACTTAGGTTTTGTGCTTACTAGTTCCTGTCAGCGTCGAGTTCTTGTAAGTTGAAGAAAGTGACGCCCTCTTGGAGGGGTAAACATGCGTCACTCATTGTTGCAGTCGCAGACATTGCCACTGAGCTCTTTGGGTTCACAAATTACCACTAAACAATATTATCCACCACCTCATTAATAAATCATGACCCTTTCACAAACCGGAGAAATGTTTATCTTGTGTTTAAATTTCTCTATCCTAATTTCCTGAAACGAAAAGCTAAACTTTTGTGATTTATTATATCACTTATTATTACTTCTTGAAATTTTACATATCAGACGTTGCAATCTACCATCATCACGACTCAGTGGTCTTTAGTTGAAACACTGTTTGATATTACTGTTGGACAGTTGAAGTTTTGTTTAGTAGTTAGGGCTATGATTGTGGAATGTTTAGCTTGTGATTTATTTCATACACAATAGATAAAATTTACTGAATTCTGAAGAGAAAATGTTACAAAGAGTTACTGTTTATTTTCAGCGAATAAAACCGAAGGATGCATAAATCAATCGTGTTTCATAGTTTATCCTAATATTATGACGACCACTTGTAACATGAATACCTTATGAATGGAATATAATATATATGTAACAACAGAAGACAAGGGCCAGGCAACAGATCGTTTATTAAGGAAAATCAACACATATTTATAGATTTTAATGTACATTTTTGTAGATTATTGTTAGTAGAAAATACAGTCTTATGATTGGTTGTTTCTCACAGAAAGTTAACCTTGCATCTCTTTGTGACTGTGTCAGATCATCCATATGCTAACTGTATCCGCCTACGCAAAGTCTTTGTTCTCATTTTCTCACCACCAATATTGGGGACATAAACATTGACGTCAATTACTGTCTATCAGCTTTGGCTAGCAACCAGCTCTCACCATATATATACATCAAAACATTCCATGTGTACAGCAGTGATCTGTTTACAATTCGAAATTCACATTTTGTTTATTCTCATGATTGTAGGATTGGATATTTTGTAACAATAGTAGATTATTATTATTATTCCCTTGGTTTCCGAGGAGAACACATAAATTCAAGAGAACATCTCCACTTTGTTCTGTTCTCTGAGGTCCTTCTTAGCTGGGCCCACGATTGCCCATAGGCTCTCGTAACATAAGATCTCTTTCATGTCACTCTCGGATGCCCAACCCATCGTTTCCCATTCATTTTTTACTCTAGTGTGCGGCGTAGTCTGACAGTCTCTTCAGCGTGTGTCCTATCCATCTCCGTTTTCATCTACATATTTGTTGAGAAATAGGTTCTTAGTTGGTTTGTTCCCAGATTTCCTTGTTGTTGGTCCTTTCTGAATGACTATCCGATCTTCGGTATGGAGCCAACGAAGACAGCTGTTGATAACAGTCTGCAGTGACCTGTTGGAAATGAATTTCGTGACAAGCAAAGTTTCTGACCTTTATAGAAGAAACGACTTCACATTGGTGTTGAAAATGTGAATCTAGTTCCTTATGCTGAGTGCGGAAGATTTCCAAGCTGGTTTTCGGTTGATGAAGGCATATCTTGCCTTTCCGATTCTGGCTAGCTGGCTTTGACATCTTCATCCGTGCCATCTACCTGTGTTTGGAACCATGCTTCCTAGCCAGATAAGTGAAGGAAGTTACATCTGTTAAATCTCTCCCATTGATGGTGATTGGTGCTGGTTGTTGTTGCAGTTTGTTGATTATCTTCATCGCCTGCATCCTCTCTATGTTCACTTGGAGTCCTGTCTTCGCTACTTGCTCAACTAGTTTGTTGGTTTTTGCCTGTAAGTCTTCAAGTTTGCGTGGCATCAAACATAAATCATCCAGGCACAAAATTCAGATCTTCTACAGTCTTCTGGTTGGGCCAAAGTAATCTTGTCCCCTCACTCTCTATGGTCTGATGCATAATCCAATCTACCACGATTAGTAATACCATCGGTGTCAGTAGGCGACTTTGTCTTACTCCTGTCTTCGCTTCAGAGGCTTCGCTGAGTTTTCCGTTGTGGATCACTTGACTGTTGACATTGTTAGGTAGATGTTGAATGAGGTTGATAAAGATTTTAGGTACTACACTCTGTTGTGTTGAATTAGTTTCCAAATTACTTCACGGTGAACACCAACTATAGCAGATTAGAAAAGGTTATTGAAAAAATTACTATTTTTATGAACTATTTATTAAAATCTCCCTCGGTAAAATCTAAGGAAGCACATATATGAACGAGCATTATTGTTTTCAATTAGATCTTATCTGACTTTACTCTGTTATGCATAAATTTACAAGTTAATATTGAAAATATAAACCGATCATGGTGATTTGTCAATAGGATGATAAGTTTGTGCAAATAAATTGTTCATTTCGTCATAATAATAATAATGATAATAATAATAATAATTCTGTTGATAATAAATGGAGGGATGCTTGATAACAAGGATCATGAAAAGTGGCAAAATTGTACAGACAAATGTTTGTTTTTTAATTTTCATTATAGCTTGATTCTACACAGTATTTTTGGTACAAGTATGGAATTTTCAGCATGTGATATCGGTAGCCCAATCTAGCAGACCGACTGTTGTTATTAGGTGTTCGTCGGCCGTGGATCGAATCCCGGACCATGTGCATGGTTGGCGAGGGTCCTAACCGCTGTGCCACTGACGCATAGACTTAGTAGATAAAGACTAAGGAAAGTAAGCAGTCAGATGAAGTTATACTAGACTGTAGGGAGTGTCAAGACAGACCTTCATGACTCTGTAATCAGTGTGGGGGTCCACTGCATTCAACAAGGAACAAGATCCAAATGTTCAATATTACTGTCAGGTCACTGCTTCTATATGGATCAGATACTTCCAGCAGGCCACTTGAGAGTTTAACCAACAGATGCCTTCGCGTCATACTGAAGATTAGATGGCTAGAAAGGATAAGCAGCGAGGAACTCTGGCAGTACAGCGAACCAGACAAAAACCTGTTAGTCATCAAGTGTGTAGAAGAGAATAGAGACAGTATAAACATAGGCTTAGAAAGTCGTTGAGTGGCATGACGCACCGGACTCTCGAACTGGAGCTGAATTGGAGACGACGAATTAGGCGTTGTTCCGAAGGTGAAATGGTTGAGGTCGTGTGAGGAGAAGATGAAAGCTTATAGACTAATGGTGGAGTCAACAAAGAACAGAGTGAATTAAGTAGTGATGTATTGTTGAAGTTCTATGTTCCACAATGAACCCAAGGTAATAATAATAATAATAGATTTCAATGGAAGTTAATAATCTCAATTTTATTGAAGGTATCAATACTGAATAGAATAAAGACATTTTGAGGAAAAACCGAATGTGATATATTGTGGAGGGTCATTATGAACTTTAGTAATCAGTTAATTTTCTAATCGGTTATGAATAAACTGTCAACAGTAAGTACTATCGCATCTCTTTTTGAAATGATAAATGACAGCGAACCATACCTGTAGTGTACGAAGCTTAATCTCCATACATAATACAAACTTTGATCCTGCAATCAAGTACTTAGAAGTTGGGTACTCAGATGAAATATGTGTAGTCCCTATACATAGTTTAGCGTGTTGTCACTCGATTTTAGGTATATTCTGACATAAGTTACTTCTCATAGGTATATTTCCATAGTAGTAGTAGTAGTAACAATCCAGTATTTACGTTCACTGATGTTTAAGTGGTGGTATCATTCACTATACAATGGTGTCAGGGTGAGCTAATCAAAATTCCAATGGCAAGTAATATCGAGCCTGCACATTAAGCATAACTAAGGTATATTATTTCAATGGTCTATATATAATTTATTTTTGTCATAGGACACTTTTACATGGTCTTCAGGAAATGCACATCATGAATTGTACAGAAAAATTGTATATACAGAGAGAAATGTTGTAATTTGTCAAGAAACAGATCCAAAATGGAGATTCGCTGTACTAAATGATGCAGATTGTTTATTCTCATTTCGTTGGGTATCTGGTCGCACATCAATGGATGTTTATCGTATTGTACAGTTAACTAAGAGAAGATTAGAATTTAGAGCTATAAAAGTGAGTCTGAATTATTTATTGGTAAAGTTATCTCTAATGTACTCCATTGCTGTTACATGAGTATATTAATGATTATTATTCTCTTGGGTTCTGAGTAAAGCATATGCCTTCTGCAGCACTTTTTGGCTGGTTCCACAATTGCCCATAAGTTGTCAGCCCCTGCTGGCATGATCTCCTCCATGTCAACCTTGGAGACTTGTCCAACTCGTCATTTTCTATTAGAGTTCCTTTGGAAGCTGTGCCTGGCTCACGTGTCGTTCAGCGGTTTTCTCACCATATGTCCAATCCATCTCCATTTACTTTGACCTGTTTGTTGGGGCATAGGTTGTCGGTTTGTTCATAGGCCCTCTAGTGTTTCTTGTTGCTAATGCTTACTAGCTATTCGGCCTTCAGTATGGAGCGAGGGGAGCTGTTGATGAAAGTCTACAGTGGTCTGTTTGAAATGATTTTCATAACACATCAAGTCTCCGAACTACATCGAAGCACTAGGTTAGAAGTAGTGCTGGGAATTCGGATCTTGTTCTGTATGTTTAGTTTAGAAGATTTCAATATTGATTTCAGATCATCGAACGGCTGTATTGCTTTTCCATTCCTGACATTCACGTCCTCATCTGTTCTGCCTATAACTGAAGATGAATCTTCCTAGATAAACAAAAGAGGTAACCCTTCGAATTTCTCCCGTTGATAGTGATTGCTAGTTGTTGTTATTTAGGTGTGTCGAGTTACAGGGGTACACTTGAAGTCAACTGGTGGATGGTGACTAGCAATGGAATCCAGGATGCGCACTTCGTCCTATTTGAGGCTCGTCATCTGGGAGTACCTGCATTCCCCAGTGAGTGATAGCGTCCTCACCGAGGCTTGAACGCTAAAGCGTTATCCTCTAGGCCACTTGGGAACACCCTCACTCACTAGTGAGTGCAGGTACACCCAGATGACGAGTCCCAAATAGGACGAAATGCGCATACTGGATTCCACTGCTAGTCACTATCCACTGATTGACATCAAGTTACATGACTAGACATCATCGAAGCATTTTCACAAGGAGCCGACATGTCAACCTGAGACCGAGTACTTCGGTCGAATCAATCGACGGAAAAATCTAAAATTGAATTAAAAGGAGTGCACTGTGTTTAGAAAAATTTGACTGTGGAATTTGATTACTGTGGTTAATTATTGTCACATATAGCTTGACACATGTTGACAACAGCACTGTATTTTTTAATGGTATGTCATTGGTGTAGCTCTGTTTGTCGCCTATAATTATAGTCTTTCAAATGTATTTTAAGGCGATTTCTCCTCATATCACAATCTGTTATAATTGTATGAGATTTTTTTTACATACTGATTGATAACCCTGATTTTTTGATATCCATATGTATTGTATTAAGAATTAAGCTTTCTCATAGTTAGTGAGATGTTACTCTCTATGTATAGGGAATACATAAATAAGGTAGGTGAGCAGAGGTTTAATTGTAAAACCAAAAAGAAATCCTTTGTTCCATATCTACACTGGGACAGAGAGTGACATACCTTTATCGCAAATAGATAAATGCATTGGGATAATTGTACATGTGTTGTCAAATATCCAGATCGCAAAGATCCTGGACCTACTGCTAGTTTTAGAAGATTAAGCCTAATACGCAGAATACTATGCATGGTAATCTATGAGGAACAACAGAAAACGGTAGGGTAATACGATTGTTTATTCTCCCACCGTTAATGAAACAGAATTACAATTATTACCAATTGCAAAGTCTGTAACCAAACGTTAATATAATGTAAAATCATACTTCTGATCATATTTCTCCAGTTTCCTGTCAACCGGTATACGATTAAGCAACAATGGCCTTCTTGTCTCCTACCAGTGGAGATCAGTTCGAATAAACAAACGATTCAATGTTCACCATTACTGACATATGTTCTAGTTCAAACGTGGTCTTTTAAATAGTCTAAGAACTTCTTAAATAACCTCATATATCAGATGATATCATTAGTAAATTTTGCCTACGGAACAATATAGCTGAATGATATGACTCTGGAATGAATCACTCAGAATACGTGGTCGATCAGTTCGACTCCAAACAAAAGAAACGGTTACAGGATGCATAGATTATTTCCAGCTAGTTTTAGTACATGACATGCCTGAAATATGGATTTGATAAAAAGCTTTTACATGCTGAAGCTTGACAGTACTCCTTCGAATCTACCCAGTCAAAGATCGATATCCATATCCAGAAAAGAAGGCAAAAAGAACTTTCCAATGTTTCTAGTGTACAAGTCTTGAATAAATAGAAATATGTTGAGATGTCCTTCAACTCAACAATGCTTCAGACATAATGTTATTTCCCGCTTCCTTCCCAAAAATAACTTGACTTTGGATTGGTTGCCCACCAGTTTCCCTAATATACCGTGTTGCTAAAAATGCTTATGGAGATATTTTAAAACTAATTGAGCAAGTTACTTGTGACCTTAGATTCATGTCACAGAATCATAAAGGATTGTCTTACCTTCTTATCTTGACATTTTATATATTGATTGGATTGATACACTATCCCTATGGGAAATATCCTTAAATTTAGTTTGTTCACAAGTATGTTACGTATCCTCAAACACCCGTTGACGACCGTGTAAATAATATGATCCGTGTTCTATTCAGTTGTGGCAAGTGTACAGAAGCTACCTAGCTATCAATGAAGTTGAAATTACAGTCAGGGATACTACGAAGTCCTCAGAAGGTGCGACAAAACCCTAACGTCGTAGATCAAAGGTCACATCTTTGGATTTATATTGGTGTATGTTTTCCAGTCAGAACCTAGTTTTTTTATAGCTCTTACTAGTAATTTATTGGTTAGCTAAGATATCTGTATAATTAGTCTTAATTTCTAAATCTTTGCTTTGGTACGTCAGTCTTCTATATCTTTTTTAGTGTGGGAATATTATTCGAAAGATAAATTGTATTATATTATCATGCTGTTAAAGTAATAGCAATAACAAACTTAAATCCAGTATTATTCTCGATTATAACAACTGACTAACGAGCAGCACTATTAGTGTGTGTGTGTGTGTGCAGAGGGGCCTTTTTCCCACTACCCACATTAGTCAGTTGTGTATATCGTAGATTTGAATCGTTTGTTCATGTATGCGTTCTAGGAAGGTTGAACAAACATAAGTAATAATTGTTGCCTTCTTCTCTATTATTTATCTTCCCAAAGTATTACTAATGGAAGACCAAAACGGAAGAACTTTTGTGCTAGTTTTGAGCGATAATCTTAACACTAATGTTGATCTATATCACTGTTTAACTGTCAGTTATTAATAGTAAATGAAAGATAAGTGGTTAATGTCCTTCTGTAGTGGTGATTGAAAGTTATTATCGATTCAATTATTGCATAGTTTAAAAATACTTTTGTATAACTGACAGCTCGTGGTAGAGGATGAACAGTTCAGTAATCAATAAGAATAAAGTGAAAAATTGGTTTGTAAATGTATTTTGTTTTGCCATATTGTCTCTTTCTTACCTATAGTACTAACTGGATTCCATTTCTGAGACTTGCAGAATGGTTAGAGGAAGCACGTGGTGGCTCACTATCGTAGCGCACTTTTGATTAAGATTATCGGATGGCATCAAAAACCGTACAATATGACTAATGCTTCTATCGTAGCTTTTGAAAATATCATTTAAGATATAAAACAACCAATGTTAGCGTTGACAGCTACTGCAGTTCCGCACATCTTGGAGGTACTTGTTCCTTTAAGCATGCATGTGTACCTTACTAATGTGCTTCAAATCACTGTTCGTAGGGTTTTCTCCTGATTATTTCTAATTACGTAACATCAAGTTAACCCGCTTTTTGGTTCTTAAGTCCATAGTCATATGGTACTGTCTCGCTGTTCACGGCTTGTAAGCTTTTTGGCTAACAGATCGGTATTGATTGAAGTTTAGTTTATTAACGTGTATGAAAGTATTCGTAAAATGTCACCACTAGCCTTGTCTATATTTCCAATTCCTTTTTCATTGCTTTCTTTTTCTCCATTTACCTTTGAATGCCGCTAGTTGAATCCTGAATGTGTTCGTGGTCTGTGGGCTGGTCAACAACGTGAACAGATATTTTTACGAAATAATAATGAAGAACGTGGAAGTATACAAAGTGCTAATCCAGTTCTACGTAATTTAGTTAATTCTAGCTGTGATCCGCCTATTGGTTATCCAATATATGTTAGTCCATTAATTACCAGTTTTGCTGGTGATAATGAAGATTATATACGTGTATGTGGAGGTGAATTATCACTTGTTGGCATTCTTCTGCGTATACGGGATTGTTGGTCACGTTTTCTTCGTCTATACTGTTGTACTACAGGTGATGAATCAAGCGGAGGTATGATAATTGGTTCTTTTTTAAAACGAATGTTAGATAAATGATGTTTCTTCCTCCTTCAAAACAGGGACAATGTGTCTGGTTTAAATAGATTTTCGTGAAAATTTTAATCTCTCTTAAACCTGAATAGATGGAATAACTTTCGAATCCCTAGACTGGTGGTTGAACATCTATCCCCCTGAGCACCCAGTCACAGCTTCAAATAACGTTGACTGTGCCTAATTAAATCAACTTCTTCGATATAGAACTTGAGATTTATGTTTCTTCATTTAATCACACAGGATTTCAATACTACCACTCTCTTCCATGCTTTAGTTTAGCGGTTAATGCAGGTACTACAACTGCATGCCTATTCAAGTGTTAATTTATAAAAATTTGATTCGTTTCAATTTTGACTACGGATTGATATCAATTAGTGATGCACTGAAATCAAGGGAGTACTGTACACCTGTTTCATCCTAGTTCAAATACATATATTATTATTCTGTTACTAATGCAGCATTGAACTGTGGGAATAATATTCCGTTGGAACACACATTGTCTGTATCGCACCGCCACACTCGACTTTCGACTGAAGTTTGTTCGATCTTCTTGGTACTGGCAATTTTGTTAGCTTGTTTTGCTGTATCGAGTTCCGGTGCTCGCTAACGTTCACCAGCTTCTCTTTGATTGCATTTCTGATCGTATGTACGTGACCTCGTCTCACGGTGACCGTATATGGTCCTTCCCACTTTGGAAGCAGTTTGCGTAACCCCGGCGCGTAATCGCTGGTGTTTCGTCTCACACTATCATATGCTGCCTTCACCCGACCTCCCAGCAGCGTTCTAAGTAACAGTCTCTTCGCTGACGGATCTTGAACGCCATTCAACTCCACAACAGCCTCGAAGTCCTGCAAGAAGACCCATATGTCTCCTCCTTCGAAAACTTCAGGGCATAGGCTTTTCATTTGTCAGCAGGCAGTGACACCAAATGTAACTGCAAAAGGCAGGACACGGAAGCCAAGGTGTATTTTCAATTGATTAAACAGCTATTTATATCTATACAGTTTATATTCTTTAACCAATCACTGAGCGTGTGATTTTGGTTTACATTAAAAGACATGAAATAGAATGTTCCAATTCATATAGTATTCTGTTGCTAATGCAGTATTCAACTGTGGGAATATGTGAGAATAGAATTCTGTTGGGACACATTGTCTGTATCACACTACGGCAAAGCTTCTTATATTATCTCTGTGTTTAATCCATGAGCTGAACATGGTATTTAAACGCAGGTAACTTCCGCTTTAGTGTTGTTACGGTACTTTACGACAGAAAGACAAACAAAAACTACTTAGAGGGGCAGACCACATGCATCAATCACTTCATATGGTTAATGTTTATAAGTTGATTGAATAAGCTATCTGTCCTGTCTAAGAATATACAACTAACCTTTGTATTATACATCACGCGATTTAATCAAACGCCATCAGTGCAACGTTACTTATATTCGGGACCTTTTTAGGGGACAGGCTTCACCCCATAAACTACCTGATACGGCTGAGGACTGGCAAACCTCTGTCTTCCTCTCGGAATGCTCTCATGTAGTCAGGTGTTTATAGCCTCTGTTTGGTAAGTTCTCTTCCATGCCATCATGCAGCGGGCATGTTCCTTACAAAAGGGGAAGTGTGAATTCAAACGTTCGACGCTTACAACAGGATTGACTGATGAACATGTAGGCCTATCTAGGAGAGCTGGAAAACCCTGATTCCAAACATATGTTGCACATGGGCTCCAAAATCCGAGTACATCGAATGACGTATGAACCTGTTTCGGTCACCGGAAGCCATACGGATGCAGCTTGAAAACCTTGTGGATCAGACTTCGAGTCAAAAGCTCGGGGCGTCACCCCTTAAGAAAAATTTCTGCTTCAGTCTAGAAATCCCATGCCGTGTTCTAATAATAACAGCAAGCTCCACACTTATTGATTAAGACGTTTGTCTTGTCAATCTTAGGCTTTTAGAGTTTGTGTTGAAGATTTTTCTCCACAGCTTTCTACCAATTGACTAAATTCTTCAAGTGTCATTTCGTAGGGAATTGATAGGCTTTAAGCTTGGACCACAGATGGATATGGTTGATGAGCTCACCTCGTAACCTAAAGGTCCTGATTTTTATCCCTGATGGGTGGTGCTGAAGAGTCTCAATATAGGGCTAAACAGTTGTCTAGTACTCCCTGGTTTTAGTCGGTTCACTAGCTGATTCAAATAAATTTTTGTTTCACTCACTGTTCACTTGTTTTCTTTTAACTGGTTTGTTAATTACTGTAGATAAAGTTGGGTCCAACGTCAACGTATCATCATCTATGCATAATACAGAACAACAGCAACAACAACAACATACAAAATTTGGTTTTCCTACTATCGGTTGGGTTGGAACATCTTCAAAGTTAACAGTACCTAGTTATCCATCAACTAGTACAAGTAAATATTCATCTAGACATTCAGATGGCAATCGACAAACTACACTAATTGCTTTGATTCATCAACAAAATGATATAGACAATATGACTGGTGCAGCAGGTACATCTTCAACAAGTACACTTCGTGATGGACGTAATATTGAATCATTTTGTTTAGAGCAAATGATATCTAGGAAACGTCAAAAAGTTAAAGTAAGTCTTCATTGTCTTTTTGTTTATATTTATGGTGTTTATTTGATAAGTATGCGTTTACAGTTGTTATATTTGTCTTCATTTCAACAGCAGATACTTTAAGCTTTAGAGAAAGCAGAGAATGAAGTGTAGGTTGTTATTAGAGCGTCAGTTATGTTATTTTCTGTTCCTCCACCACTTTTTCTCTTGCCTACTTATAAGAGAAAAAGTCTAATAACAACCTACACTTCATTCATTCTCTACTCTGTACTGCTCAGCAGTCTGCTCCGTCCTCCTTAATGGCTGTGAGTGAGACATAACCATTGAGAGTGGAAGAAATGAAAAGACCAGCTAGCTGTCTTTGATCATAGATGTCTGCGTTATACCTCCCGTGTTAAGTCGTATAATAGGGTGACTAATATTGATGTTAGGCTTCGGTCGAGTGGTAGGTAAGGAGGGGAAGTCAATCGATGAGGTGGTGAAGCTACTTCGATTGATATAGCTAGGACATATGTTAAGCATGCCTAGTCGACACCCTTTCCTCGACGGTCAACGTTAGCTGGCATAGGATGGATCAGGTTATAAACGAGATAGTGGTGGTCAAACCAAAACATGGAATCAGTCAATGAAATCCATGACAGTTTAAGTCAGCCACGTCGAGAGATGTAGACTTCTTGGTTGGTGTCCTCGGGATGGTGAAGACCAATGTAAGCTGGAGACAATTGTTGATATGGCTCAAATTCGTTCTCAATGGCGCAGATGCATCCATTCCTTGTGACTTCTAATATTCAAAAAAAATGTATTGTTTTTCGATATTACTATTCTTTTTGCCTCATATCTCTGTTTTGCATCTCTTTTTACTTTCTTTTCTTGCTTTATGTGCTAAGGGAAGTGTGGCGACTCAGACTGCTGCACATCTGTGCAAAGTTCTATGTTGAAAAATATTAGTCAGTCAGCCTACTTAAACCACTGAAGTGGGTACATTTTATATAGAAATAAGGTAACTTGTCAAAGGTAAACTTTTAAGATGTTTGTTTATGAAAGCATATCGTTAAATAAAGGATCGTTTTAACAGATTAACATTTGTTGATAAGTTAGCTCTCCTTAGATGATGATTCAGCTATCAACTATGTCATCTTTTAACTAACCACTCACAGATATGACTCACAATTTGGCATGAAGGAGACAGAAAGGGAGTCTGAAATATTGATTCGGGAAGCATTCACTACCACTGACCCTCACTTCATTCAATTGTGTAGAATCAAAGTGAACCTAAATAAATAGTTCTGTTGAAAGCGTAAGTATTAGGTGGTCTTAGAGATAATGATGTTTTTTGATAATTCCACTCTAATATCTGGCGGCTATCGATACCATCCCCATCCTTATTTTTGCTTTCATCGAAAGAAGGCACATCGGCTGACTGGCTTCCCGAAGGCTTTTACCAGCCTCCGTCATTTCACTTCCCCGATTCCAGCGATAAATAAGGTTATTGTTTATACTTTTAGAATTTTTAATATATTTGTGCGTTGAAGTTTCTGTAGCTATTTGGTTAATTTTTGGGGGTGGAATTGCTAGCACTACGCCCCAACCCTCCCTCTTTATCCGGGCTTGGGACCGGCTAGAAAACTAGTGAGCTAGTAATCTAGGCGATACCATCGAGATTGAAGTGAATTGACTTTAAGCTCGTAATCGACTACTTCGTAGTTATATGTATGGAACACTGAGAGATGTCCTAACACCTTTGAAGTAAGAATGAGGTGTAAATTGCCAAATCAAAACATGGCATTATTCCATGACGTCTGTGACTGTTGATTTGATCCCCATAGCGAGGTATAACCTACCTGACTAGAGCCTGTTAGTGTTACAGCACAGAGAGAGAGAGATGCATTCACTGTTTGTAATCTCCCAAATTTATTAAATCCTCATTATTGTCTTTGTGGATATCAAAGAGAGGATCGAGAAAGCAACTCAAGCTTTCATCACTCTCAAGTCTGTGTGGAAATCAACATCTTTCAGCATGAAAGATACGATCCGAATTTTCAACTCCAATGTGAAGTCAGTGCTACCTAATATACAGATCAGAGACTTGGTGACGCGTCATGAAGGGCACTTCGACAAACTGCAGACTTTCATCAACAGCTATCTTCGCCCAATACTACTCAAGATCAGATGGTCGGTCAGAAAAGATCAGCAACAGGGAGGGGTCTCCGGGAGCGAACCAACCCAGCAAGAACCAATTGTGCAACAAATATGCAGGAAGAAACGGGGGTGGATTGACCATACTCTGAGAAAATAAACCACCAAGTGACATCACATGACAGGCTCTCGAGTGGGACCCGAACGGGAAGCGGGGAGTTGGTCGTCAGTGCGAGGATAGGTTGACATGGAGGAGGTCATGTGAAGAGGAGATGAAAGCATGTGGGGAGACATGGAGCCAGATGAAAACGTTGGCGGACAACCGAACACAATGGAAAAGTACGGCTGAAGCCTTACGTTTCCCTAGGAACTAAAGGAACTAATAATAATAATAATACATTTTCAATTGTGTGTTTCTACTCTCGTAAATTTCCGTTTAGTATGGTTACCTTCTATTTCTTTTTCTCTACTTTTGTGACGTGTGGCAGCAACTAGAACCGCTGCGCTTTTGTACAGAATTCCACATATGAAAATTCAGTCAGTGAGACATCTTTGTATCCCTTACTCTAGAGGAGAACTGAAGACTTAATGTTTATCAGGCGATGAACTGACCATAATAAGACCATATTTTTTACTTAAACTGTGAAGGAAGATAATACAATTTTGTTGTCGAATTATTTTGTGTACTGAAAATTCCACACATCCAGTTCCCTTTATTAGTTTTAACAAAGAAAGGTCGAATATATTTGGAAGCTTAATAGTGAGTTTAACTCAGTAAGTGAAAGTCAAAATCAAAATTAAGTGAAATTTTACGCATACGAACTAAACAAAATGTTCGGAGAATCTAGTAGACACTGTCCTCTCATTCCTTTCTGTGTACCTTCTGCCACAAGTGCAAGTGAATCGGTAATTGCATTTGGAGTTGACATGAGAAGGATAATCATATTTTCTGTGTATATCTCGACGACATTGTGAGAAAAGTATGTTCAGAAAGTGTGTAACCTATATTTTGATATTGTTTAAGATGTACGCAGTTGAAGAGGATCCACTAAATAAACCGAACTCGTTTTATATTCGTTCTTTCTTTTTTCATATTGGAAATCCCACGTAGCAAATGACTTATTTTATATCTAGATTTGAAGCCAGAATTTAACACACAAAACAGTGAACCATTTTCATTATTATTTCTGGGGGTTTTATAAACGATGTTCTGACCTGAGTTTACCGTAATTGGTTAATTTTGGAGCGAATTAAACTCATTATTTGTCTGTACAATATATATTCTTTTCACATTTGTTTATCATTAATCTTTGGATGTTTTTTTCTTTCTTCTAAAACTAGATTATCGATACTAGTCAAATATTAAATGAACACTTGAATAAATTATCTTGGCCTTGCAAAGAATGGTGTATCCAAAGTTTAACATATGCTGCATGTCGTTCATCTGTTTTTCCCGGTTTAGAGGCTATTCGTGTTCATCGATGGACTCCAAATAATCTTGATGCAAATTCACGATCATTTTGTCATCGTAATATTGCATTATTAGCCTTTCCTGAAGGTCCACCATTACTAGATGGACATTATATAGCTATATGGGAAGATAAAGGCCTAGTAGAAGTCAATGATGAAGACAACGATGATCCTCTCAGTACTATTACAAACAATAATACTAGTAGTAATAATAATAATAACAATAGTAATAATAATGATAGTCAATTCATTATGGATTACTTCCTCAACAATAGAAGCTCACTTACAATGAAATAACAGTGATGATGAGTTGAGTTCATTTCCTTGATTTTTTTTTCAAACCTAGGAAATAATTCTATCACCACACCACACCACACCACCCCCTCACACTCCTCCCCCTTAAACACATCTGTTCAGTGTAATGTTCAGGTTTTGTATAGAAAAGAAACACATGCCAATCACATTCACACACACACACACACTTCACTTTTCGTTTTGTATACCATCATCTTATCTCATCTAATGTTCATAATTCATAATGATTAGATTATTGTAATCATATAAATATATAAAAAACAAAATATTCGTAAAGAGTACACATAGATATAATTCACCTTTCTACATTCTAACGACAATTACTGTTATTATTATTATTACCACTATTACATTTTAGTATGTTTGTATATAAAATAGATATGTACATTGTTTGTGTAAATATATACTTATGTATACTTAGAGTTCGAAGTAATCACCTCTTCTGTGTAAAATCCCTTTATGCGGTAAGTAAGTTCTTGTAATGATGCAAAGATAGGCTGTGAATTACTTCAATTTACTTCGACAATACTTTTCCCTTTTTTTCTATATTCAGTTATTATTATTATTTTTATTGTTCCCTTTTATTTTCTATCTTCACACCTCTCTGTTACACTTCCTTTGTGAGTAGTAATCAATCAAGGTAGTAGTAGTAGTATGGATGTATGGTTGTTCTTATATGCTCTTTTCCATGTATCAATTCTGTTTTATTCCTATCTTCCTCTAGTTTGTACTTTCTCTACCTTTAGTATTTTCTGCACACTTCCTGATCTCGACTGTATTCTCTTTTTTGAATCTATCCGCATTTGTTCAACAAAGATATATATACATATAATTCGGGTTTTATTGAGTTATATGTTGTTGTTTATTTCTTTGTCTTCCTTCCTTCATCGATTTCACTTTTCACTTAGTCATATTCTCGTCTGTGGAGTCCGTATGCATAGGCGTTTGTGTGGAAAAGGCGTTGCAGCTCTACGCTTATTTCAGCTATCCTTTAAGACACTAGGGTAGAGTAACTCCTTCTTCTTCAGCTTTCTTCATACTACTACTACTACTGTTATTTTATTTCATGAGTAGAGATTTCTCGAATAACTGATAGTTTGGGTAGGAAAGCTGAAAAGTCAATGGTATACATATATGTTTCTTTTCTTCCCTATCATTCATCATCATTATTTTTCGATTGTATCACTATTATTATTATTATTATTATTACATATTTTATAAAAAATTAATTCTAATCTACTGAATTTTAATTTTGTTTTATTTTCTAAGTTTGATTGCCGTTGTTTTTGTCATTTCAGAATATATATATTGGTGACGAGCACTACTCTGCTGGGTGGATACAGAGATGCGAAATATTATGCCCTATTATTATTATATTATTTATTAAAAATACAAACTTTGTACACTGTGAACACCAAGAGATGCTCTACAAAAAAGTGTCATAGTTTCATAGAGGGCTGATTTACTGCACGGATGCCTGGACTTTGTGATTCCTTAGCTTGAATTCCGATCCACAAAGCAAGTCACCTTGCGTTCCCATGGTTTCCGGTAAAGTTCATGTACACTATAGATTCGGAGTCAGCATTTTCCAGCTCCTTTAGGTATCCCTGGAGGTCCACTAGTCCGACTGTAAGAGCCAAACGTTTACATTCATCCTTTCTCTTTTGTGAGAAACACGTTTTGCGCGTGAATGTACTGAATAAGAGTTACCTGGCAGAGGTTATGAACACTTGGCTACATAAAAGCATTTCGAGAGAAACACGAAAGTCTACTCTCTCTCTCTCTGTTTCGGTAGTACCACGTCGTTTATGAGGGCAAGTCCGCCCTATACACCAAAGCTATACTGATTAATGCACTAAACAAAATATGCTGACTACATCCTCAGTGAATATTAACTGTTATGCCGCTTCTGGGGTTTTTTAACGACTGATCTGACCTGAAATACCGAATGTTGTTTATTTTTTAGACACTACTAGTAGAACGCTTGGTATTTATTTCTTCTTGCATATATATTATGAAATGTCATCTATGGTATTAGAATATAAACCATGAGAGCTATTCAAGTTCGTAGATTTAATATACATGTTACCATTTCTCGTCTTTTGTTCCTATTTTTAACAAAGTTCTATCTATCTATCAGATGTGATTGAAAATGCTTAGAACTGAAAGTAGCCAGAATGCGTAATGTTTTTATTAATTATACTATTGATTCATTTTAACAGGATTTCTGTTATAATCACTCCGTAGACAATCATAATTTTTTTCAGTAGAACTTAATACATTAGAGGCTTTTCCTCAAAATACAATCGAGTCTTAAAACTTAGAAGTGTGCGATGCAATACATGCGTTCAAACCGTGGAAAATACCCATCATAAACCAAGTTAGAAGGTTGTGTGAGTACCTTGATCTGATTATGAGCAGTAATAAATTGTGCTCGAAACGTCATCAGTACATATTGCTGTATAACACTGTGAGATTTTATGAAACTAAATTTTACCCATAATGGAATTATACTTTACCACAGTCCACAAGTTTTATTCTACTACCCATCAAGAAGTTATAGAGAAACGAAAAAGAGTCTCAGCAAAGGTATCTCTTTGGTGAATTCACCTTCAAAAGCTGTAGAATCTCATTTTTGTATATACGTTTACTTAGTTATATATATATATATATATATATATATATATAGTTGAGTAATATGTGAAATAATTTTTTATAACGGGGACAAGTATGTACGGGATGTACATAGAAACAAATTGAAATGATAGTTTTTATTACTGAAAATGAAGGAGATGAAAAAAATTGCAGACGACAGCTAAGGAGCCGAACGAAACTAGATCAGTGGCTTGTGTCGAGGTTGAAGTAGATTTTGTTTTGAGCGTCTCACTCCGGCTTTTCGATGCAAACGGCGAGAGTTTCTGCAACACAAAAGAGTGAGAAACATGCTTCCTTTGGTAGATTTTTGCATACTTTGTCAGTGACTGTGAATGATGAGTCAGTTGAGATGGTGTGATAAGTGTTGACGAGGTGTTCAACTATGACGCTTCTGATTGAATCAGTTCTGCTTCTTTACATTCATGCTGAGTAACTTTCAGTAACATGTTTTGAAATGATGCGCATAGAATGACCTATATACGTAGCTCCATAGAATCAGGTGAATTCATATATATACACATTGGGAGTGGTTATATGCGTGAGTTTGTCCTTTCTATACACATCCCATTCATACTTATCTTAATTAAAAACTATTTTACATTTTATGCCACCATTGTCTAATGTAATTTAGTTCCTATGCCCCTTATAATCTGTATTCATATCAAGATGAAAGTTGTTGTCACCTTCAATCTCTCTTCGTTACTATTTTGAGTTAAATAGCGTTGGCAACTAGATAAACTAATGTATAAAAATGCAGTTACACAGCTTTTGACGACGAAATCGCCAAAAAAGATACCTTCGCTAAGCGATGCATTTAGTCCACACATTCTGTTTGTACTATGTTATTATTCATGTGCTATCTGAACCGCTTTATATCCAATTTTTGTAACTTTCAAACTTCATGCCGTATATGAAGGGGTAATGCCCGATTGGCTTCGTTTTCGTCATTGTTGCGTTGAACAGATATTATCGTCTATTCAGGATTTCGTCTATGCAAAATGATTGACTGTGGTATTTATCTCTCACTGGTTGAATCCAGTTCACCTTCAGTCACTGTGTTGTGTGGTGGTCATATAGCGTCTATTGGGCTGTTAAGTGTTCATCTTTCATTCAGCAATCTTTTATGTGCTTTGTGGGTTTGTTTATCTCTCATCTGGAGATTCAAGAAAATTCATTCTACCATATATAAAGAATATCTCTGAAATAGCGTCTAGAATACTAAAATCATTTCAGATAGATATAACACACAATCACTATTCAATATTATGCAGACCATAGGACCCAACAGCAAAAGATGGTATGATTAGTATCACTTACAAAATAAATTGTATAAACATTACATTGGTCAAAGTGGGGGTTCCACTTCAAATTACAATCGAAGAGCACAAGTCAGCTGTAAAAAAAAGCACGATATGTATTCTTTCATATCGATGTGTATAGACAATTACGGACACCAGTTTGAGTGGGAAATGTAGAAATTTCCAATAGGAGAAACACCAAAAATGCCAGGGAATTTCTAGAAGCCTGGTACTTAGATGAACCAGCGATTACCAAACACATTACTACAAATCGAATAAATTTACCAATTAATAAAAAATAAACCATATGAAAGTTCAAATTCCAAGTCAATAAAAATTATCTATAGAGATGGATGTAAATTAACAACCAATCACGACTATGGTTGTTGCGAGGAGATACTATTATATCACTCACTCTTAGATAATTCAAACAAGTTCCCTTTATATCAATGCTTACGCTGAAGTTGTCTAGAAGGACAATGAAAGCTTTGGATGGAGGATTTCATCTTGAGTTGACATCAGTTAGAGAACCACTGGAAAACCTAAGAGTAGTGGACAGCTGTTTCGTCCTAGTTTTGGACCCTTCATCTGTACGCACCCACTTGACTTGAAAATTAATCTGATGCTCACTAGTGACTGGCCCTATTCAGGCAGTGACCTGGGGTTCTAGTGGGAAGCCGTGACCAGTAGGGTACAGTAGGTTGAAGATGAAGCAGTAACTCATCGAAGAAGACATTGCGAAATGGTCGTGCTATGTCGTGAATTGGCAGAAGTTAGAATTCACGGGCTGGTCATTGGATCGGATCTCATTGACTGAATGGTCTACGAGCTCGCTAGCCTTGTAACCAGAAGGTCGTGGGTACGAAGTTTGGCGGTGGGTGCGTACTGTGAAGAGTCCCAAACTAGGATGAAACAGCTGTCCATTACTCTCAGGTTTTCCAGTGGTTCTCTAACTGATTTCAGCTCATGATGAAATCCTCGATGCAATCAAACAAAATCCCTACAAAACCAATACTTGAAAAAGAAAGCTTTGCAATTAAATCAACCAGCTCATAAAACACAACCAAATCAATATTTATATGATTACTGATGGGTAGAATGACGAGGAATTTGACGATTGACGTCTTCCTTCTTGATTTAGTTGTCTAGTGCTATTCATTTACTTGTATTTTTCGTAATTTTTCTTTTCTTCGCCTTTGGAAAGCTATCGGTTTGACTACTACTGATTCTTAAAGTTTTAAGAAAAAGCGCTTCCAACTCTCTTTGAATTTTTGTTGTTGTTTTTTTCTGAACAGAAACGTGATTTGTGTATGTTTTTTTCAGTTAAAAAGATGCTAAGTGTGTAAAAATAGAATTTCAATTCAGTGTTGTCTTTTTGGGGGGGATTGTTATGAGCAAAAGCAACATTGACAAATAGTGAAATAAACCATTGAAAGCAATGGCTGTGAATAGGGAGGGAATAATTAAAAATAGTGGTGGCCCGCCTAAATCCGGATTGTGCTTTTATCCTTCACATTCCCCAGTGGAACATAGGGCTTCAAGCTAGTGGCTTGAAGTTTCTGTAGCAGTGGTGTTCATTTTACAGGATGGGGTTATTAGCCTCATGCCCAACCTTTCCTCTTCACCAGCATGTTTTCTGGCTTAGCGAGGTAAAGGAGTGCGTCGGCCGGGGATCGAACCCCGGACCATGTGCATGATCGGTGAGCGTCCTAACCGCTATGCCACCGACGCACTTAAATCCGGATTAAGGAATAACAATCATAATAATATACGGCCACCTGCTTAAATTACTGGGCTGTCTAGATTTTCTATCCATCACTGCGTTTCACATTGTTTTAATGATCTAATTACCACAGGAAGACAGAATCTACACTTGTGCACAATTTCAAGTAGGTTTCTGCTTACCGCGAGGAGTTTTCCTCAGGAAATAGAGGAAGAAAATTGTGGAAAAATACTGGAGCAAGCTTCGACTGGAATAATATCTCTTTAGATGATATATCATAGATTATTATATTATTTGAAGATTCTACACAAGAATTAAATATCTTGCTATGTGAAACTCGCTGAAAATTCTGTATTATGTATAGGCGCATTTTTCAGAATAAAGCTATGATATTATTACTTGAATGAACGGTGAGAGATTCAATGAGTAAACTTAGAAATGCTTTTCCTTCTGCTCTCCTGAAATCAAAAATGTTGGCTTTAATTCGTTTTATTTAGTGAAAAAAGT